TGTGGGAGGAAACCGGAGGAACCCCACGCAGGCACAGGGAGAACATGCAAACTCCAGGCAGGTGGAGCCGTGGTTGGGATTCGAACCAACGACCTGCCAGGCGGAAGTGCTAACCACTTGGCCGCTTTAGACCTGTTTCTCACTGTGGAGGTAGGTGGCTGGTGATGGCGGTTGTCACTTTCCCGAATCTCGGCTTGTATGGGCTGCGGAGCTGAAACGGTTTTATTAGCTGACGGGATTTGAGTTGTCACAGATGCTGCATCCATGGTTTGGGTTGGTCCTCCCGGTGTGACGGGTTTTTCCAGTCCGTCAGCTCCTGAGACGTTCAGCCAAGGGACAAGTTGCATCAAATTTTGGGAGCAGCAGCACATGTGAGATCTCCATGCAGCATGTCACGCACTGCGGGAAGGGAAGGACTCGGTGATTTTTATAGCGTCGGTTATCTTTTTTTTTTTTTTTTTTTGTAGAGACTTTATTACATTTCCGCACATGCTCAGTCTGACCTGGGAGTTGTTTTTTTTTTTTTTTTTTGGCAACTTTATTCAACTTATGGAGGAAAAGTCAACACTTGGAATGCAGTCAGTCCAGAAAAGTCAGTAGATGAAGTGGTGGTCAATATGAGCGTGGCTTGAGTGTAGTCCTGGACCCTAAGGGGGTCCTAAGTGTATGGATCCATGATCCTACTGCAGGGGCATGAGCATGTGGGCCCATGACCCTTCTGAAGGGGGCGCAAGTGTGCGGGCTCAACCCTTCCAGGTAGGAAGGAGGACTTGAGCGTGGGGACCCGTGACCCCTCTGCAGGGGCTTGAGCGTGGGGGACCCGTGACCCCTCTGCCGGGGCTCGAGCGTGGGGGACCCGTGACCCCTCTGGAGGGGCTCGAGCGTGGGGGACCCGTGACCCCTCTGCCGGGGCTTGAGCGTGGGGGACCCGTGACCCCTCTGGAGGGGCTTGAGCGTGGGGGACCCGTGACCCCTCTGCCGGGGGCTTGAGCGTGGGGGACCCGTGACCCCTCTGCCGGGGCTCGAGCGTGGGGGACCCGTGACCCCTCTGCCGGGGCTCGAGCGTGGGGGACCCGTGACCCCTCTGCCGGGGCTCGAGCGTGGGGGACCCGTGACCCCTCTGCCGGGGCTCGAGCGTGGGGGACCCGTGACCCCTCTGCCGGGGGCTCGAGCGTGGGGGACCCGTGACCCCTCTGGAGGGGCTCGAGCGTGGGGGACCCGTGACCCCTCTGCCGGGGCTCGAGCGTGGGGGACCCGTGACCCCTCTGCCGGGGCTCGAGCGTGGGGGACCCGTGACCCCTCTGCAGGGGCTCGAGCGTGGGGGACCCGTGACCCCTCTGCCGGGGCTCGAGCGTGGGGGACCCGTGACCCCTCTGCCGGGGCTCGAGCGTGGGGGACCCGTGACCCCTCTGCCGGGGCTCGAGCGTGGGGGACCCGTGACCCCTCTGCCGGGGCTCGAGCGTGGGGGACCCGTGACCCCTCTGCAGGGGCTCGAGCGTGGGGGACCCGTGACCCCTCTGCAGGGGCTCGAGCGTGGGGGACCCGTGACCCCTCTGCCGGGGCTCGAGCGTGGGGGACCCGTGACCCCTCTGCAGGGGCTCGAGCGTGGGGACCCATTTTCCAAAGGGCCCTGTTGCTTCCAGAGACACATAGTAGCAGTGCATCTTTGTGCGTGTGTGGCCAGGACCCCTCTGAAGGAGCTCGAACCCCTATGGGGGCTCGAACATGATCCTTCCGAAGGGGCTCAAACCATTGGGGGCCCCCATGATCCTTCCAAAGGGGCTTCCGGAAGAGTTTGATTGTGTGGGCCTGGGACCTTTCCAGAGGGCCCCCTTGCTTCCAAAGACACCTAATAGCGACACATCTTTGTGCATGGAGGTGCATTGGTGGCCATTTAAACCCCCTCCCCCACATTGGTCATTGGCAGAGTTTTTATACCCACCTCACCCAGGTCAATAGGGGGCGGCCCAGCTCTGGATGTGATGGGCCGCTCATAGAGAGCCGGTAGGCCACAAGTTGGGCATCACTGAGCTAGATGATGACCATCACATTAATGCTTGTGCAACGCAAAGAGTATTAAAAACATTGCCCCTTACATGTCCTCAGATGTGATGGCTGCATTAGTTTTTCTTTTTTTTTTTTTTTTTTTTCAGACCTATTTTCCCGTTTTTGCCTGGTGATCCTGCCAGCAACACACTTCCTCTTCTAGGATGACAACACTCACTCACTGTACTGTATAGAGGAGTAATGTTGTCATTAGGCCTACGGGACAACACCCCCTATCCTTCTCCCCAAACATGGGGGAGGGGGGTTATCCTGTAGTCCCAGAGAGCGTTCAATACCAATGGATAGGAGTGCAGAGGAGGCGCAGCATGTCTTTAGCTGGCAGGATCAACAGGTATTTTTATATATACGTATTAAACAGATCTAACCAACAACTTTCAGTGATATATTTCACACATAAGAGACGTTACATAGATGGCGCCGGCTCTGTTCCCTGTAGAGGGCGCCGTGCTCTGTTCCCTGTAGGGGCGCCGTGCTCTGTTCCCTGTAGAGGGCGCCGTGCTCTGTTCCCTGTAGAGGGCGCCGTGCTCTGTTCCCTGTAGAGGGCGCCGTGCTCTGTTCCCTGTAGAGGGCGCCGTGCTCTGTTCCCTGTAGAGGGGCGCCGTGCTCTGTTCCCTGTAGGGGGCGCCGTGCTCTGTTCCCTGTAGGGGGCGCCGTGCTCTGTTCCCTGTAGGGGGCGCCGTGCTCTGTTCCCTGTAGGGGGCGCCGTGCTCTGTTCCCTGTAGGGGGCGCCGTGCTCTGTTCCCTGTAGGGGGCGCCGTGCTCTGTTCCCTGTAGGGGGCGCCGTGCTCTGTTCCCTGTAGGGGGCGCCGTGCTCTGTTCCCTGTAGGGGGCGCCGTGCTCTGTTCCCTGTAGGGGGCGCCGTGCTCTGTTCCCTGTAGGGGGCGCCGTGCTCTGTTCCCTGTAGGGGGCGCCGTGCTCTGTTCCCTGTAGGGGGCGCCGTGCTCTGTTCCCTGTAGGGGGCGCCGTGCTCTGTTCCCTGTAGGGGGCGCCGTGCTCTGTTCCCTGTAGGGGGCGCCGTGCTCTGTTCCCTGTAGGGGGCGCCGTGCTCTGTTCCCTGTAGGGGGCGCCGTGCTCTGTTCCCTGTAGGGGGCGCCGTGCTCTGTTCCCTGTAGGGGGCGCCGTGCTCTGTTCCCTGTAGGGGGCGCCGTGCTCTGTTCCCTGTAGGGGGCTCCGTGCTCTGTTCCCTGTAGGGGGCGCCGGGCTCTGTTCCCTGTAGGGGCGCGGGCGCCGTGTTCCCTCGGTTCGCCGGGCTCTGTTTCCCTGTAGGGGGCGCCGTGCTCGTTCCCTGTAGGGGGCGCCGGGCCCTGTTCCTGTAGGGGGCGCCGGGCTCGGTTCCCTGTAGGGGGGCGCCGGGCTCGGTTCCCTGTAGGGGGCGCCGGGCTCTGTTCCCTGTAGGGGGCGCCGGGCTCTGTTCCCTGTAGAGGGCGCCGTGCTCTGGATACAGCCAGCTTTGTGTCTCACTTGGGGAGATTTTTCATGACTTCCTGTCTCTGGTATTAGGAGAGATCTGTGTCTAATATTCAATATTTCCTGTTTCAGTGCAATGACCTGGAGGAAGACGAGTCCTGCCATGGCCTTACAGACCTGGATGTGGGAATACTGGGAACCCTTCAGGGTTACATCGACAGTTCCATTATTTCCATCATCGATGACACTGGAACTCTGACTGAGGTACGACTTCCTGCCTCCGTCTACCAATCCCCTGTTACCAGCCGCTCACAATGGTACCGCCCATTACTACCATTTGTATTGTAAGATCCTAAAGAGACCTCTCATGGCTCACCTCAACAATCTATGTTATTTATCTGTAATATCTTGTATGACGTTCATAAACATCGATCAGATGGGGGATAGAGAGATACAAAGTAACATGTTTTATAAACATCGATCAGATGGGGGATAAGAGATACAATGTAACATTGTTTATCTCGATCAGACGGGAGATGGAGAGATACAAAGTAACATGTTTATAAACATCGATCAGTGGAGAGATACAAAGTAACATTGTTTATAAACATCGATCAGACGGGAGATGGAGAGATACAAAGTAACATTGTTTATAAACATCGATCAGATGGGAGATGGAGAGATACAAAGTAACATTGTTTATAAACATCGATCAGACGGGAGATAGATACAAAGTAACATTGTTTATAAACATTGATCAGGAGGGAGATGGAGAGATACAAAGTAACATTGTTTATAAACATCGATCAGATGGGAGATGGAGAGATACAAAGTAACATTGTTTATAAACATCGATCAGACGGGAGATAGAGAGATACAAAGTAACATTGTTTATAAACATCGATCAGACGGGAGATGGAGAGATACAAAGTAACATTGTTTATAAACATCGATCAGATGGGAGATGGAGAGATACAAAGTAACATTGTTTATAAACATCGATCAGACGGGAGATAGATACAAAGTAACATTGTTTATAAACATTGATCAGGGGAGATAGAGATACAAAGTAACTGTTTATAAACATCGATCAGACGGGAGATAGAGATACAAAGTAACCTTTTTTATAAACTTCGATCAGACGGAAGATAGAGATACAAAGTACCATTGTTTATAAACAGCTATCGAGGGCCGGAAGCTAGCCGCCCCGGGATAAGAGGGACCCCGCATCGCTGTAGCCGAGCCGAGTATAGTTCCGCTTTTATTCCCTCTGGCAGCGGTACTTCTCCCTGCTACAAGTTAAGCCCTTGATGGATCCTCCATAACCATCTCTCTGGAGACTTTAGATATTGGAGGTTCTAGTGTCCTGATGGGGGCCCCATGGACACCCGAGGTTTTTAAGGGGTCTTGTCTATTTAACCCGTTGATGTTGATCTTTGCAGAACAAAGGCCACCTTGATGAGGATAACGAGCTGTCCCTCCTGACGGCCCTGACTGAGATATTGGACAACGCAGATGATGAGAACATGTCACCCTTTGACTCCATCCCAGATACGGAACTTCTGGTGTCACCGAAGGATCGGGACGGCTGCTCAGTAAGTCTGTTTTGGATTGTCTGTCATGGAAAAGATTCACCCTTTACATAAATTATTAGGGAACACCAGTCCCCAGCCTAGGCATCCTGGACCACATGGGCTGTGCCTACCAATCATTGAAAGCCTTGCCTTCTCTGGAAGATTTACATAAACTTTTTTTCTGTCCAGCCTGTCCCCTCCCACCTCCTCCCTGTCTATTCTTGCCTGGCTGCTGAAGCCTCCTGAGATATTCATGTCACATATCCTTGGAGACATTGGCTTCCACAAAGTGTGGTTGGAGGAGGATGGACCTGGCATGTCATTGTTGGGTGGGGGGCTACTAAACCCAGAAGGAACTTTCATGTACATGGTTGTGAGGTGGCCACAACATGGCTTTATCCGAGTCTAATGCCTGGTGGTATCAGTCCCGGAAGAGGAATTGGCAGGGATGGTAGGGAAGAGAGGGATCATGGGATGGGGGGATAGGTGTTCCAATGTATGAAACAAAGGGATTGATGGGCGGAAGGGCTGGGGGTGGTCAAGTTCCTTTTAGGAGTCTACAGATTTGCAAAGCTACTGGTAGGTTCGCTTGAAATGCAAAAATAAATTGTGAAAATGATTTTGAAAAGCGCCGTGATGCATTCACAGCCCGGCCAGCTCCTATAAGTAAAAGGCAAATGTCCCTCTCAGATTTGTCCTTTGTTAAAGTAGGCTCTTTGTATTTATGGTGACCCCCTTCGCAAATGCAATGAGTGCAGTGGAGGTACGAAAGGGAGCATTGGACTAACTGAGCAGGCAACGAGGGAGCTTCTGCATCCACTTGTTGCAGAGAGGACAACCCATCGTTCTGAAGAACAGCAGATGTCAGATCTTGTTGTGTGGTTCCGTAACTCTGGACAGTTCTGGCGCCAGGCACATGTCAAATGCTGAACCCTTGGTCCCATGATCTTGACTGGTGGAGTATGGTAGATCAGTCTTCAGGAAGAACCTCTAATTTGCCAGAGATCATCCTATCCTCAAGCATGGTGGTATTGGCAGTCCGCTGGTCCACTAAGCAAAAGTACATTCCAGGAATTGAATGGGGAAGATAAATATTTTATTGATCTGGCTGATTTTTTTTCTTCTTTTACCTTTTACAGAGATTTCTCAGTCTGTCCCGTACACCACCTGATCGAGAGATCCCTTCAATGGATGACCAACGTTGGGTTAATTATGCCAAGGTGAGACTCTTCAAAGGGGTGTCAAGACAATATAAAAATTACAAATTGTACATCTTTTCCTTTTACCTCTCCCTCTCCTCGTCTTCCCTACACCACCTCCTCCTCGTCTTCCCTACACCACCTCTCCTCCTCGTCTTCCCTACGCCGCCTCGTCTTCCCTCCGCCGCCTCGTCTTCCCTCCGCCGCCTCGTCTTCCTTTTTTTTTTTTTTTGTAATGTTAATTAGTTTTTCTGAAATTGCCAATACAAAAAACATGTTAAGATGGTCACAAAGTGCATGTTTTCAAATCTACCTATTGGAGACTTTTTTTTGCATATTAAAACATTCAGAATTCTACTTTTTGCTTTTTGTATTGTCTGACAGGTTGATATTCTCTGCCCTGGCCCCAACTGGGATCTCTTCCCGGAAACTCTCAGCTCCACCCCAATAAGACGCACCAGACATAAAAGTGTACGGGCCTATTTACCTCGCAGAGCAAGGACAGAGCACACCCAACAGCGAAGCGATGGAGAAGAGGAGGAGATTCCCCTCCCAGAGAAGAAACAGTCGCAGAATCCTAACTTACTACCCGCTGACCAAGTCTCTTCCTCAGATCCCGACGATGAAATTGTCGATTATGATAATGAATTTACGAAGTATGGCACCCCTTGTATCATCAATACCGAAAACGTCGCTCTGAACGATTTGGTGAAATACATGCACCCTTACTGCCTGCCTGCTATAACTGTGTGTCTAGATCATGAAGAAGAGAACCTCCCGGATGAGGATGGGGTGTTTCTCGAAATTGTGTCCGATCAAGGAGAATCGATTAAAGTCCCAATAGTGGTGGAAGTACCAGAGGACGTGGTAGATTGCCAGCCTTCAAAAGAAGATGTCCCCTTACTCAACACTTTAGAAGATGTGGTAACAAAACCCCAAATTCTGGCTTCAGAGCAATGTGTTCCTGAGGTGGATGAGAAAAACATCGAAATAATGGAAGACAAAGAATTGTTGAAACAATCCGCGGAATCAATAAAGGATGAAATAATGGAGAGTAAACCAGAAATGGACAAAATTATGGAGGCTATGCCAGAAATGGACAAAATTATGGAGGCTATGCCAGAAATGGACAAAATTATGGAGGCTATGCCAGAAATGGACAAAATTATGGAGGCTATGCCAGAAAGGGACAAAATTATGGAGGCTATGCCAGAAATGGACAAAATTATGGTGGCAATGCCAGAAATGGACAAAATTATGGAGGCTATGCCAGAAGTGGACAAAATTGTGGAGAACATGTCAACTGAATCCTTGAATGCAGAAGGAACTGTTGATAGTGTTTTGGATAACAATGCTCAAACTGATACAGATCCCTCCACAGATCTAAACTCCAAGCCAAATAATGAAGGTGCTATTGTACCAGTTCCAGACAAAGAAAAGGTGTCGAAAGTCAAAAAGTCTACCAAAGATAAGCCTCTCAAAAGCTCAAAGTCAAAAGCTAAAGGCAAAAACAAATTTGCCGGTGAAGTCAAGCCACAAGAGGGGCAGGAAATGGTTTCACTGCCGAATGCCATTCAGTCTGCTGTAGGCCGATCGAGTAATCCTTCGCTGCAGGAATCAGACTTTATAATTAAGACATTGGATCAGGTTAAAGAATCACAGTTGGAGCTTCGTTCCTCAAAGGTAACCCGCAGCAAAGCAAGGTCTCGTCCTAACATTGCAGAGAAAAAAATTAACTTGGAAAACAATAAAAAAGAGGAAAAATCGACTCTAGAGACTGAGCAGCCCAAAGCTGCTGGAGTTGATCCTGTCTCAGAGAAAAAGGACAAGGTCGGAGACCTAGGCTCGCAGTTGGATGTGGTTCAGGAGCATCTTCCCAATGATAAAAGTGAGACACAGGGAGATGTTTCTGCAACTGCTGAAGATTCATCCAATGTGGAGCCAAATGAAATGACCCAGCAAGCGAAGGAGCCTAAGCCAAAGCCACTTAGTCTAAGTGAATACAGGAAGAGGCTTCAGAATCGAAAACCTAACCTCGACCGAGAGACCGAAAGCTCATCTTGTAGCAAGTGGCCTTCTATTTCTGAGCCGCCCACAGAGTTGGCAGAACTTCCATGCTTGATTGTGCCTGGAAAATCGGATAAATCAATGGTACCAGAAAAGCCAAACCCAACTAGGCCCGAAAGCTGCTGTGCACCAATTGCCCCAGCCACCTCCAGTATATTGCCATCTATTGTCTCCGGAGCACCGATTGCTGCTCAGGATGACCTTCCACAAAGATCAACTGATGAACCATCCTTGCCTATCATGGATACTACCCTGCCCCCGATGATGCCTGCACAGCCAAACGTTCCACCTCCATTCTTTCCTCCTGTTTGGCCAACTGTACCTTCACAGCAACTTTATTACCCTGGTGTGGCAGTTCCTCATATTCCCAGCACCCTACCCCCTATGATGCCCATGCAACCACCTCCATCAATGATGAGCTGGCCTCCGTTTCCCCCACCCCCCATTGCGATTGGTCCTGTGCCTCCTAATGCTTGGGCTTCTGGCCTGCCACCGCCCTATTGGTCAAATCCTCCAGTTCTCCAAGGGATGCCTGAAACCCTTGTTCCTTTCAATACAGCAAATCCGCTTGGAGTACCTGATCAGAAGGTGCCACAGGACGCCGCAGCTCCACCCGGGGAATGTAGCCCTCAACTGTCTGCTCCAAAACTTGAGGATAATAAAATTGGAAAGAAGGATCCGAAAACAGCTGAAGCATCAGAAAGTATTAAATCCGGTGTATCAGTTAAACCTAAAAATATTAACTCACATTCGATACCCGGATCACAAGTTTGTTCCGAGGTTAAGAAATCTGATTCACCTAAAATGGAGACTTCTATACCACCAGAGCCTAAAAAGGCAAGCCTTTCCATCCCTGACCTGAAATCTGCAAACGAGGTGGTCTGCAAAATCATGGAAATTCTAAAGAAAGCTCAAAAGTGTGGATTTCAGCTAAAGCCACCACTTCTGTCATCTGCTCAGAAGACTGGAAACCCCTCTGAGGTCCCCAAACCCACCGAGGTCAGCGTATTAAAGTCAACGGAGCCCGAGAAGGCCAGTGGTGGTGGTGCACAAAGCCAGCCTATACCAGCCACCATCAAACCTTTGGCCTTGACTTCTGAGCAGCCAAAGCTTGAAGTTTCTTCAAACACCCTTGCGAAAGAAGCTAAAACCTTAACATCATCTATAGTCAACGAAAAACCAATTCAAGCGACTGTCCTCCCGCCAATTGAAGCACTTTGTACACCATCAGATGCTTTAAATCCTAATTTACTTGTTTCTAATCAAAAGGAGCAAGGAGAAGGTTTAGATAGTGAGACAGGTAATGCTTTGACGTGGCTGAAGGCTAAATGTTGAAGTTTGTCCTCTACATCGAACTTTCGATTATTCATATATTTTTTTTTCTTTAAGGTATTGAAGCATCTGATCTGACAAGCTTGCTGGAGGAGTTTGAAAAGTCTGAAGGTAAGCCATGTCCAAAGCCAAAAATGTGTTTCTTTGAGTGGCAGTAGACTATGTAAGAGTAGAGGTCACCACACCTAGGGTCATGGAAACTGGGAATAAACTGGTTGAGTTTAGGCTACCAACTCTACAGCCCCCCTCTACCTGTTCCAAGATAACACCCTTGCTGCTAAAATTCCATTGAAAATAGCCTCCCATAGTGTTTGCAGAATCGGCATCCCTATACTCCCAGGCAGGGGCGGACTGACAACTCATGGGGCCCCCGGGCAATAGGGGATCATGGGGCCCCTGTGTCCTTGCCCAAACTCAAAAAAGGCTATGAAAAAGGTACCAGGGGCATCTCATGGGGCCCCCTACTGACCTCGGGCCCTCGGGCAGTGCCTGAGTTTCCAAATGGTCAGTCCGCACCTGCTCCCAGGGGTAGCTTTTGCATAGGCGTGGGGCAAAAACGTTTGCCCCTTTCCATTGGCGAGAAGTGGGAAACTGGGTGGGGGGTTTTTGCTTGGAATAAATTGAAGGGCTAGGCTGGAGAATTTTTGCTGTACAGCAAACTTGGAAATTTTCATTGTCAAGACTTTAGCTACTTGCCGACCTGCTCACAGTAAATCTACTTCAAGTGCAGGCACTGCCACTTATGTGTACAATGCGGTCCCGGGGGGTTCCCCTCTAAATTAAAAAAAAAAAAAAAAATCCACATGGAGAACCACCAGAAGCGTGTGCATGCTTTTTGTATGCTGGGATGATGCCACATAGGCCTGCAAGTGTTGACGCGTTTCCAGGGGGGGTCCCGTCTTCGTCAGAACTTCGAAAAGGGGACCCCCCTCGAAATGCGTCATGACTTGCAGACCAGTGTGGCATCTTCCCAGCATACAAGACGAATGTATAACTGTTCTCAGTGTGGATTTTTTTTGTTAAGGGTTTCCTGTTTTTTTTTTATACAGCACAAGATCACAGTGCAAATCACACAAACCTAGTCAAAGAGCCAAATAGGTTGAGCATTTGTGAAGAACAACTAAGACAGATGTTGGTACAGTGACTTCATGAGTATATGATATAACAAATTTAAAGGGTTAAAAACCAAGGCAGTAGCTCTTAGCCGTGGGGCCTGCTCCTCATTGGTGGTCAATGTGACCTCCAGAAGAAAGAAAAGAGGTGGCCTGTATGTCCACAGTCAAAAAAAAAAATGAAGGTTAGAGAGTGAAGGAGAGAGCAAGAAGGGAGGAGGAAGAAGACTAGGAGAGGGGGGGGGAAGGAGAAATTCCCCCAGCCATCTGTGTTAAAAGGGCTAGAAGAACACCTATCGGGGCAAGAGCAGAGTACAATCAAGGTTTGCTGTCGTATGCAATCTGTGGGGCCCAGACATTAAAAAAAATTGGCATGGTTGTCATTCAATTTTGAAGAGAGCTTCTCATACACCATGGCCCCCATAAGCCACTGTTTGACTTCGGTAAGGTCGAGAAATTGCTTCCGCCAGTTTTTGGCCAAGGTCTGCTGAGTAGCCAAGAAGACAAAGCCCACCAGTCTCTGGTTCTTGGTCAAAGTTGAGATAGGTTTGCGTAGTAGGGCTTCCCACGGGTTACGAGCCAAGGGTTATGTTCAGTACAGTCCTATTCGAGGCGTACACCTTGGTTCAAAAGTGGATCGCCTTGGAGCAAGTCCACCGGACGTGAAGTAGGGTGTCCCGTTGTCTACAATCATGGAAGCGCATTGGAGATAAGCCAAAAGTGGATCGCCTTGGGGCAAGTCCACCAGACGTGAAGTATGGTGTACCGTTGTCTACAGTCACGGAAGCGCATCGGAGATAAGCCAAAAGTGGATAGCCTTGGGGCAAGTCCACTCGGACGTGAAATAGGGTGTCCCATTGTCTACAGCCACGGAAGCACATCGGAGATGAGCCCAAAGTGGATAGCCTTAGGCAAGTCCAGCCGGATGTGAAGTAAGGGTGTCCCGTTGTCTACAGCCACGGAAGCGCATCGGAGATGAGCCAAAAGTGGATTGCCTTGGGGCAAGTCCAGCGGACGTGTGCAGTAGGGTGTCCCGTTGTCTACAGCCACAGGAAGCCCATCGGAGATGAGCCAAAAGTGGATTGCCTTGGGGCAAGTCCAGCGGATGTGCAGTAGGGTGTCCCGTTGTCTACAGCCACGGAAGCGCATCGGAGATGAGCCAAAAGTGGATTGCCTTGGGGCAAGTCCAGCGGTCGTGCAGTAGGGTGTCCCGTTGTCTACAGGCACAGAAGCGCATCGGAGATAAGCTGCCGGGAGTCATTGACCGGGTGAGGAAACAAGTTACACTAGTTTTCCTGAACCAAAAAGTTTAGAGAGCCCTTAAGGGAAGCAAACCAAATGTTCCTCCAAGACGCTTGGTCAAGGGTCTTGCCTAGGTCTCCTTATCACTTCCCCACATAGGAGAGTTGACTAGAACCCGTGAGATTGCAAAGGAAGAGTAGGGAACCAAAATGTGAGGGGGCCTGTCCAACACGATTTGCTCCATATGGACTTTTTTTGATTACCTGTTTTTTTTTTTAATCGGTATGATGACCTGTTTTTTTTTTTTTTTAATCGGTATCTGAAGATAATTTTCTAGGCCGGGCACCCCCTCTCTTTATACTTTCATACTTTTGTACATATGTCTTGTTTTCTGTTCTGCACCCCGTACCACTGACCCTTGCCTTGTTTAGGGACTTCCATCCGGAATTCTGCTCTCCCCATTGTCTGAGCAGAATTTGCTTAGTTGGCAGTGGGAATAGCTTGCTCTGCAACATATGAATTCACGGGGATCAAGGGCCTTCGTAGGGATGCCTATGGTCGCACGCACACGCACACGCACACATGCACACACACGTCACTTGAATTGCTCGTTATTTAGCCAGCATGGAATTGGAGGCAGGACAATGTGACTTCCACGTGGAGATGCAATTTAAGGTTTCAATTGGAATTGCAAGAAAATATTAAAATCTGGTATCAAAATTTTCAGCCGGCGATGTGGTTTCATGTAGAGGTGGGCGGGGCTGAGTGCGACGAGGTTAGTGATGCCAAACGCAGTTTTTTTTTTTGCGTTTAAAAATACTTTGCACACAGTGGTCTTACTCCTTTTCTGGAATCCCTTTTCTGGTGCTCTCTGCTCCTCCTTCCTCCGGGTGCCTCCTCACTAAGCTCTGTGCTAAAGGGGCACTTGTGCGGGTGTGCTCCCGAGCCGGGCCGTGTGCGTCCATATGCGCACAGAGCGTAGGTTGGCCATGCCCCTGCTCCCCTACTCGTAGGAGTTTGACTGACAGCAGCAGGGGCATATGGCTCCCAGTGTCTCCTGTGAGGGTAGGGTGTGAGAGGAGCAGTGCTGGAGCTGGGACAGCGCTGGATCAGTGACATTGAGCCAAGTAAGTGTTTAGGGACTGGGGAGGGGCCTAGGACAGGGGAGGGGCCTAGGGTCACAGATAGTGAGCTTTCTGTACCCTAATGCAGGAATAGTATCCCAATGGGAGCTCTAGAAACCTAAAATTACATTGTCCTCTCCCAGTACCCTAATGGTATCCTAGGCAAAAGCTATAGGACCGCATTGTACTATCCCAGGACCCGAATGGTAATATAGGCAACTATACCCGAGAATCCTTGTGGTATACCGACGCATTGTACTGTCCCAGGACCCGAATGGTATTATAGGCAACTATAGGACCGCATTGTACTGTCCCAGGACCCGAATGGTATTATAGGCAACTATAGGACCGCATTGTACTATCCCAGGACCTGAATGGTATTATAGGCAACTATAGGACCGCATTGTACTATCCCAGGACCCGAATGGTATTATAGGCAACTATAGGACCGCATTGTACTGTCCCAGGACCTGAATCAACTATAGACCAGGACCTGAATGGTATTCTAGGCAACTATAGGACCGCATTGTACTGTCCCAGGACCTGAATGGTATTCTAGGCAACTATAGGACCGCATTGTACTATCCCAGGACCCGAATGGTATTATAGGACCGCATTGTACTGTCCCAGGACCTGAATGGTATTATATGACCGCATTGTACTGTCCCAGGACCTGAATGGTATTATAGGACCGCATTGTACTGTCCCAGGACCCGAATGGTACTGATACCAGGACAGGTTGTGGGTGTTTTTTTACCTTAATGTAAGAAATGTATTTTGGTGTAAAACAAAGTTTTGCCGTTTGAACGTTCCGCCGGTCTGGCCGTTGGCTGTCATGTGGCATCTAGATGGCCGAGATGGAGAACGTTACAATGCATTATATTGGAATGACCCTAAATTTTGGTTTTTATTATTCGGGTTTCTATGTTCCGATCTCTGAACAACAAAACAATAACTTGTAGGGAAAGGCGATAAGTGATGTGATTGCTGTTCTCAATGAAACGTTTTGTGTTCTGTTTCCTGTCTTTGCTCTCAGTAGTTTAACACATTTGGTTCTTTGCAGCTAAAGATGAGGAGCGTCTGCCTCCCAGTCCTGATAAAATGGCTGTAGGAAACTCGGGGTAAGTGTGGGAGTTACCCTACAGCTCAGCATTGACACCCGTCACACTGCTCCGCTCTGCCGCCACCATGCTTCTTTCTTGTGCTTTGGGGAAGGTGGGGGTCGGGGGCCTTTGTTGTGGAGAAAAAAAATTCTATTGGGTTTTTTAATACAAGAGACTGAAATGTGTTTTTGCCATTTCCTCTAACTGCCATCATTCCCTCAACTGTGCAGAAAGCCATCCTTCTCCTCCACGGACCGGACCGGTAGATGGGCTTTTTTTTTTTTTTTTTGACCTGCAAAGTCCATCCAGGCCATGAGCACCGCAGGTCATCGCAGGCACTGGCCAACAGCTATCTGCCTGCCGCTGTCACTTCCAGCCCCGGGAATCCATAGATTGCTGCGGCTTGGATTCACAGCCTGGCTAAGCCCCCGTGCGAATGGTGGCTTTCATATCCCGCATGTCTATTCGTTGTGTGCGAGCTCCTGTGACAATGAGGCAAAGTCGAATGGTTTGCTAAGCTGTGTTCGCTTCTGGTCGAATGTTCTCCAAATACTATAGGTAATAGTAAAGAGAAGTCATATATAGCCGAATGAATTAGGAAAATAACACTCTATGGCCACTAGATGGAGCTGAGGATCATGGGGGGGTTAATAACACTCTATGGCCACTAGATGGAGCCGAGGATCATGGGGGGGTTAATAACACTCTATGGCCACTAGATGGAGCCGAGGATCATAGGGGTAGTGGATAATAACACTCTATGGCCACTAGATGGAGCCGAGGATCATGGGGGTGGATAATAACACTCTATGGCCACTAGATGGAGCCGAGGATCATGGGGGGGTTAATAACACTCTATGGCCACTAGATGGAGCTGAGGATCATGGAGGTGGATAATAACACTCTATGGCCACTAGATGGAGCCGAGGATCATGGGGGTGGATAATAACACTCTATGGCCACTAGATGGAGCCGAGGATCATGGGGGGGATAATAACACTCTATGGCCACTAGATGGAGCCGAGGATCATGGGGGGGTTAATAACACTCTATGGCCACTAGATGGAGCCGAGGATCATGGGGGTGGATAACACTCTATGGCCACTAGATGGAGCCGAGGATCATGGGGGTGGATAATAATACCCTATGGCCACTAGATGGAGCCGAGGATCATGGGGGGGGTTAATAACACTCTATGGCCACTAGATGGAGCCGAGGATCATAGGGGGGGGGGGGGGGGGGAAATACCATTGAGGATCATTGGAGAGAAGTACAGCCTAAAGCGGAGCTCCACCCAAATGGGAAAGTTCCGCTTCAAAGATTGGTCCCCCGCCCCCATTAAGGATTGGCACCTTTAAACAGCTATGAATTTTTTAAATAAATTATTTTTAAGTGTGCTTTCTTTTTGGTTTGTTAACCTCTTCCCGTCCGGCCCACGTATATAAACGGCCGGACGGTGGCAGTGCAGGGTCGGGGGCCTCCCCGCCCCCTGTTTGTGCGCACTCCCTGGGAGCACGCAGCACCTCAATCCGGTGCTCGCTGTGTCCGGAGGAACACCAATCGTTGTACAGGACCTCTGTGTGATCAAGAGACTGAAATTGGCCAATCAGTGATCACATGAAGAGTAGTAAGCAAGATGTCACTTCTGACATTGCTTACTACTTGTGAAATCTGTGAATGATCACAGAGATCACATGGTACAGGGCTATTCACAACAGCCTTGTACCATGTGACAAGCTGTGACCAATCACAGCTCTCTCAGTATTTCTCAATGACTGCAAGAATGCAGCCAGAGAGAAGGAGAAATGATTGCTTTTACAGCCTTTATGGGTGCAAAAGCAATCAGTGACTATGGTGACACTGTACTGCTAGGGTGACAAAATGTTAAAAAAAAAAAAAAAAACAAAAAAAAAAAATTTTAAATGTAAAAAATTTTTGTTTAAAATTATAATTTTTGGTTATAAACTAATTTGGGTTATTTTTTTTTCCTAAAAAGATCATTGAATACATTTTGTCAATAGATTTATGAATAGAATAGAATAGATTTATGAAGAAATATTATTTATTTGCAAAATTTTATAAGAAAAACACTTTTTTTCAAAATTTTTAAACTTTTTCATTTATATAGCAAAAAAAAAACAAACTCCCAGCGGTGAATAAATACCACCAAAATAAAGCTTTATCGGTCTAAAAAAAAAAAGCTAAAAAATGATATGGGTACAGTGTTGCATGACCGCGCAATTGTCATTCAAAGTGTGATAGCACTGAAAGCTGAAAATTGGCCGGGACTGGAAGGGGGGGAAAGTGTCCGGACTGGAAGGGGGTGAAAGTGTCCGGACTGGAAGGGGGGGAAAGTGTCTGGACTGGAAGGGGGGGAAAGTGTCCGGACTGGAAGGGGGGGAAAGTGTCCGGACTGGAAGGGGGGGGAAAGCGTCCGGACTGGAAGGGGGGGGAAGCGTCCGGACTGGAAGGGGGGGAAAGCGTCCGGACTGGAAGGGGGGGGAAAGCGTCCGGACTGGAAGGGGGGGGAAAGCGTCCGGACTGGAAGGGGGGGGGAAGCGTCCGGACTGGAAGGGGGGGGGGGGAAGCGTCCGGACTGGAAGGGGGGGGAAAGCGTCCGGACTGGAAGGGGGGGGGGGGGACTGGAAGCGTCCGGACTGGAAGGGGGGGAAAGCGTCCGGACTGGAAGGGGGGGGGGGGGAGCGTCCGGACTGGAAGGGGGGGGGGGAAGCGTCCGGACTGGAAGGGGGGGGGGGGAAGCGTCCGGACTGGAAGGGGGGGGGGGAAGCGTCCGGACTGGAAGGGGGTGGGGAAAAAGCGTCCGGACTGGAAGGGGGGGGAAAGCGTCCGGACTGGAAGGGGGGGGAAGCGTCCGGACTGGAAGGGGGGGGAAAGCGTCCGGACTGGAAGGGGGGGAAAGCGTCCGGACTGGAAGGGGGGAAAGCGTCCGGACTGGAAGGGGGTGAAAAGCGTCCGGACTGGAAGGGGGGGGAAAGCGTCCGGACTGGAAGGGGGTGAAAGCGTCCGGACTGGGGGGGGGGTGAAAGCGTCCGGACTGGAAGGGGGGGGGGGGAAGCGTCCGGACTGGAAGGGGGGGTGAAAGCGTCCGGACTGGAAGGGGGTGAAAGCGTCCGGACTGGAAGGGGGGGGAAGCGTCCGGACTGGAAGGGGGGGGAAAGCGTCCGGACTGGGGGGGGGGGAAAGCGTCCGGACTGGAAGGGGGGGGGGGGGAAGCGTCCGGACTGGAAGGGGGGGGAAGCGTCCGGACTGGAAGGGGGGGGGGGGTGGAAGCGTCCGGACTGGAAAGGGGGAAGCGTCCGGACTGGAAGGGGGGGGGATCCCGCGCTGGAAGGGCGTGAAAGCGTCCGGACACTCTGCCATTGGCTCTCTCACGTTATTCACCATTTTGCAGTCCTGTCCAAGGATGACAACACTGTTCCTCTACGGATACAGTACAGTGAATGGTGTCACCCTGGGACAGGAAGTGTGTTATTGGGATCACCAGGTATAAAAAAAGGCAAAAAAAAAAAAAAAATGAAGGCAGCCAGTTCATCTATAAGAACGATCAATAAGATCAATAAGAACTAATACATTTTTTTTTTTTTAAATCTCTTTTTGACAGATCTGAGAAGCCAATGGGGAAGAAGCCTCCTGCGGAGAAACATCTGGCGCCGGAGTTAGTCAATACAGCCGGTGAGTCGGCGGCCATGTTGGCCTCATTGCTGGTATCCCATTCATTTCTGCCCTGGCACCTGATTCCGAGTCTGCCTTTGTGTGAACAATACGACATGTCATAGGGGCTTAGAGGTTGGCATGTCTGCCTTGCAGCGCTGGGGGTCCCTGGTTCACATCCCAGTCAGGACCTGTCTGCATGGAGTTTGCATTTCCCTGCTATCCGTGCGAATTTCCTCCACACTCCACTGGTAGGTTAACGTTCTAAATCGGTCCTAATATGAGAGAGAGGACCTTTTTAGGTTGTATGCTCCTCGGGGGCGGGGACTGATGTGACGCTACAGCATGTGAAGTGCTGCACAATAATACTACCTGTAACAAAATAGAGAAGTCAAATTTCCCCCTAGTCCAAATTTATAAAGTAAACCCCCATCTCCTGGCAAAATTTCCCTTCGGTCCTCCTTCCCACCTGTTCGCCACCTTTGAATAAAAAATGTTTCCTTGTGAAGCTTGTTTACTCGCCTGACTCCACCGTCCGAGTCACTCGGCGACGCCACTTCTGGGAGTGGTTAATAGCGATCCATTGGTGCGGCCTGGATCCTGAGAAGGACCCCTACGCTTGTTAGCTGACATGGGCACCTGAAAGACTCCTGAAGATAAGAGACCCAGAACGTGGCTGGTCATGTGATCAGGTTTAAACAGCACTGTGAATCGGTGAACGAACTACAAGGACCGACAGCCTTTGTGTCTGTCAATGAACTACGACGGTGCTGCTGAGCGCTCTGGTAGTTCATTGATTCTTCCTGTCAGTGTGAAGTTGCCTGCCCATACGAGGTACAGAGTACACTGACAGTCTGCAGGAGACCTGTATAGCACCAATCTGCTGATCGCTGGTGTAGTGCTTTCCAGGCATCTAAAACAAAAAATTGTAGATGCATTTTTTTTTTTTTTTTTATAATTACCCCCTTTTACCGGCAGAAAAAAATGTGCATTTATTTTTTTTTAAAAGTTGAACTTATCCTTTCATGGTACTTAAAGCAACTATAGGACCGCATTGTACTATCCCAGGACCCGAATGGTATTATAGGCAACTATAGGACCGCATTGTACTATCCCAGGACCCGAATGGTATTATAGGCAACTATAGGACCGCATTGTACTGTCCCAGGACCCGAATGGTATTATAGGCAACTATAGGACCGCATTGTACTGTCCCAGGACCCGAATGGGTATTATAGGCAACTATAGGACCGCATTGTACTATCCCAGGACCCGAAGGGTATTATAGGCAACTATAGGACCGCATTGTACTGTCCCAGGACCCGAATGGTAATATAGGCAACTATAGGACCGCATTGTACTGTCCCAGGACCCGAATGGGTATTATAGGCAACTATAGGACCGCATTGTACTGTCCCAGGACCCGAAGGGTATTATAGGCAACTATAGGACCGCATTGTACTGTCCCAGGACCCGAATGGTAATATAGGCAACTATAGGACCGCATTGTACTGTCCCAGGACCCGAATGGTAATATAGGCAACTATAGGACCGCATTGTACTGTCCCAGGACCCGAAGGGTATTATAGGCAACTATAGGACCGCATTGTACTGTCCCAGGACCCGAAGGGTATTATAGGCAACTATAGGACCGCATTGTACTGTCCCAGGACCCGAATGGTATTATAGGCAACTATAGGACCGCATTGTACTGTCCCAGGACCCGTATGGTAATATAGGCAACTATAGGACCGCATTGTACTGTCCCAGGACCCGAATGGTATTATAGGCAACTATAGGACCGCATTGTACTGTCCCAGGACCCGAATGGTATTCTAGGCAACTATAGGACCGCATTGTACTATCCCAGGACCCGAATGGTATTATAGGCAACTATAGGACCGCATTGTACTGTCCCAGGACCCGAATGGTATTATAGGCAACTATAGGACCGCATTGTACTGTCCCAGGACCCGAATGGTATTATAGGCAACTATAGGACCGCATTGTACTGTCCCAGGACCCGAATGGTATTATAGGCAACTATAGGACCGCATTGTACTATCCCAGGACCCGAATGGTAATATAGGCAACTATAGGACCGCATTGTACTGTCCCAGGACCCGAATGGTAATATAGGCAACTATAGGACCGCATTGTACTGTCCCAGGACCTGAATGGTAATATAGGCAACTATAGGACCGCATTGTACTGTCCCAGGACCCGAATGGTAATATAGGCAACTATAGGACCGCATTGTACTGTCCCAGGACCTGAATGGTATTATAGGCAACTATAGGACCGCATTGTACTATCCCAGGACCCGAATGGTATTCTAGGCAACTATAGGACCGCATTGTACTGTCCCAGGACCCGAATGGTATTCTAGGCAACTATAGGACCGCATTGTACTGTCCCAGGACCCTAATGGTATTATAGGAAACTATAGGACCGCATTGTAACCGCATCTGTAGGTATGTAGATGACCTTCCTGGTGCCTGCAGGTGAGTGCAGTCTGTATTAGTAGCAGGTATGCTGGAAGTGGTGTAATGCGGTCCCTGTAATGATTTGCCCTGTAGTCGCATTGCTCACCTCCCTTTGTCCCATCTCAAGCTAGCGCTGGTCTCGTCTCAGGCTCAAACAGCAGAGGGAGCCATTGGCTTTTGCTGCTGTCAATCAAATGCTGTGAGGTGCAGGGCTGAGCTGCGCTGTGTGTCAGTGGACACACACAGCCTGGCTTTGGAGCGAGCCCGCAGGTGTGCCTCCATAGGAAGCGGTCTCCTGTGGGGGCACAAAGAAGAGGAGGAGCTAAGAGAACCAGGGACCCTAGAAGAGGAGGTTCTGTGCGATACTATTGCACAGAGCAGGTAAGTATGCCATGTTTAATAAAAAAAACAGCGGTTACTGCCGTTTTTTAAAGCATGATCCATTCATTTTTAGTCTGTGCCTTGCATTAGGCTTGATACCAAACTAACACAAAGCTCATTGTGTCTGAAGGTCTCACCCCTCCGGCCACTCCACCGCATCAGCTATGGAAGTCTGCCAGCCAATCCCTGAATGGGAAGTCCAAGCCCTTGCAGGTAACCGCTCAGGAGAAGTCATGTGCCTCGACACTGAAGACCGCAAAGCTCATCGAGCCAAAACCGTTGCCGCAGAGCAAGCTGAAGAACCGAAGCCTCGCATCGGCTCCCCCTACGGCACTGCCAGCTGTCCTCGCATCGGCTCCCGCCGCGGCACTGCCGGCTGTCCACGTGGGATCCGGTGACCATGATTACTGCATCCTTTCATTCACCGGTCCACAGAAGGGTCCCGAGACCACAGAGAACATCGCGGATGCAACCCAGAGGGAAGAAGGATCACGCTGGAACGTCAAACACCATCAAAATATCGTCATCAGGCCCATCGTGCAGTTCAACAAACGACCACCGAACAAAGCGTGCCCCAAGCAGAGCGCGGAAAATGCACCTCCTGTCGTCGCCCATCCAGTACCACCACCCTGCAGAAACATCCAGAAAGATAGCAATGAGCCCCTGGACCACAGGACTAATGTTCTGGCAGAGTCTGCATTGAGAGGTCCCCCCGATTCCGTGTTAATGTCTCCAGACTCCTCGCCATGTCGCAGCGAGCTCGGGGAGACCAGAACTGATGCCAGGAGTGAGAAACCCTCTGTGTCCCGGAGGTCCCTTCGCTGCTATAGGAAGTACAGGAATTCCCTCAGTCCACAGAAGTCCACGTGGAGGGGGCGGTCCAGCGGTAGTCGTTCTGCTTCTTCTTCTTCCTCATCATCGTCCTCCTCCTCCTCATCGTCCTCGTCTTCAAGATCTCGTTCAAGATCTCCGCCACCAAAGAGGAGAAGAACGTAAGTTGATGGTTTTATAGCACTGTTGGTTCTACAACACGGGGGGTAGGCAACCTTGGCATTCCAGCTGTGGTGACGCTCCTATCGTGCCTCTGGTGGCCATGCCTATGGCGGTCAGTCTTGCAGTGCCTCATAGGACTTGTAGTTCTACAATCGCTTGGAGTATTGAGGTTGCCTACCCTGACAGAGGGAAAAAAAGTCTCCTAAGTAAAATTTGTACCATCTCTGGCTGGGCTGAATCCTCCTTACTTGGGGCTCGTTCACATTTGCTTCAATATGTGGCATTGGACACTTTTTTGTTAACCACTTCCCGTCCGGCTGTTGTATATAAATGGCCAGATGGTGGCAGTGCAGGGTCGGGTGGCTGTTTATAAACGGCCTCCCTGCTCCCTTCTTGTGCGCGCGCTCAGCACTGAGATCCGGTGCCCGCCGTGTCCTCCAGACACAGTGGAACACCGATCGTCGTACGGGACCTCTCTGCGAAGTCCCCGATCATGTGACTGCTAATTGGCCAATCAGTGATCACATGCAGAGTAGTAAGCAAGATGTCACTTCTGACATTGCTTACTACATGTGAAATCTGTGAATGATCACAGAGATCACATGGTACAGGGCTATTCACAACAGCCTTGTACCATGTGACATGCTGTGACCAATCACAGCTCTCACAGTATTTCTTAATGGCTGCAGGAATGCAGCCAGAGGGAAGGAGAAATGATTGCTTTTACAGCCTCCTTTTATGGGTGCAAAAGCAATCCGTGTAAAAAAAAAAAAAAAAAAAATCTTCATCACTTCCCAAAAGTAGTACAGTGTCACCATGGTGACGCTGTACTGCTAGGGTGACAGTATATATAAAAAAAAAAAAAAAAAATAAAGAAATAAAAATGTTAACAAACTTGTTCAAAAATTATAATTTTTGGTTTTAAGCTAATTTGTTTTTAGTTTTTTTTTTTTTTTTTTTTTTACTAAAAAGATAACAGAATAAATTTTGGCCAAGATTTATGATGAAATATTTGCAACATTTTTTAAAAAAAACACAGCAGGGAAATGCAAACTTTTTTTCAAAATTTTTGGACTTTTTCATTTACATAGCAAAAAAAAAAAAAAATCCCAGCGGTGAATAAATACCACCAAAATAAAACTTTATCTGTCTCAAAAAAAAAAAATGCTAAAAATTCCATTAAGGTACAGTGTTGCATGACCGCGGAATTGTCATTCAAAGTGTGATAGCGCTGAAAGCTGAAAATTGGCCTGGACTGGAAGGGGGGTGAAAGTGTCCGGACTGGAAGGGGGGGGAAAGCGTCCGGACTGGAAGGGGGGGAAAGTCCGGACTGGAAGGGGGGGAAAGTGTCCGGACTGGAAGGGGGGGGGGAATGTGTCCGGACTGGAAGGGGGGTGAAAGCGTCCGGACTGGAAGGGGGGTGAAAGCGTCCGGACTGGAAGGGGGGTGAAAGCGTCCGGACTGGAAGGGGGGTGAAAAGCGTCCGGACTGGAAGGGGGGGGGGAAAGCGCCCGGGGTGAAAGCTGGAAGGGGGGGGGTGAAAGCGTCCGGACTGGAAGGGGGGGGGAAAGCGTCCGGACTGGAAGGGGGGGGGAAAGCGTCCGGACTGGAAGGGGGGGGGGGGGAAAGCGTCCGGACTGGAAGGGGGGGGGGAAAGCGTCCGGACTGGAAGGGGGGGGTGAAAGCGTCCGGACTGGAAGGGGGGGGGAAAGCGTCCGGACTGGAAGGGGGGTGAAAGCGGGGGGGTGAAAGCGGGACATGAAGTGGTTAAAGCCCTCTGAAACCAATCACAGCGTCTCTCACTAAATAAAAATGGTTGCCTTACAGTCGTTTCAAAAATGATACCCCGTGCCGCTTCTCTTGGTGCTTCATGGAACCTCCAAACCTTCCATAAAAGTCTGGTAAAGCTCACTAAAAAGCACTTGTAGCATTTGATGGGCTTTTATTCAAATGGTTTGGAGATATTGGAGGTATGAGATCCCAGGATGGACTGGGAAAACCCAGAAAGATGGGATTCCGCAGTCACTTCCGAGTTCATGTGTATATGTTCTGGAAGTGTCTGGTGCCGACGTCACATCTGGTGTGGAGCAGCAGGAAGGTGAGCGGAGTCTGGAGCGAAGCAACTAGCAGATGGCACACATGGTGCTCAATGTGGGAAGGTGAGCGGGGAACGGAGAGATCAGCAGAGCTGGGGGACAAGAGCGGGAGAAACTAGCAGATGTCACATGGGGTGTGTAACGTGGGAGGTGAGCGGGGACCAGAGAGAGGAGACTGGTGGAGGATCAGCAGAGCTGGGGGACAAGAGCGAGAGAAACTAGCAGATGTCACATTGGGGTGAGTGGGGACCGGAGAGAGAGAAGACTGGTGGAGGATCAGCAGAGCTGGGGGACAAGAGCGGGAGAAACTAGCAGAATGTCACTTGAGAGGTGGGGGACTGGGGACCGGAGAGGGAAGACTGGTGGAGGATCAGCAGAGCTGGGGGACAAGAACGGAGAGAAACTAGCAAATGTTACATGGGGTGTGTAGCGTGGGAGGTGAGAGGGGACTGGAGAGTGGGGACTGGAGAGAGAAGACTGGTGGAGGATCAGCAGAGCTGGGGGACGAAGAGCGAGAGAAACTAGCAGATGTCACATGGGGTGAGTGGGGACCGGAGAGAGAAGACTGGTGGAGGATCAGCAGAGCTGGGGGACGAGAGCGGGAGAAACTAGCAGATGTCACTTGAGAGGTGACTGGGGACCGGAGAGGGAAGACTGGTGGAGGATCAGCAGAGCTGGGGGACAAGAACGGGAGAAACTAGCAAATGTTACATGGGGTGTGTAGCGTGGGAGGTGAGTGGGGACTGGAGAGAGAAGACTGGTGGAGGATCAGCAGAGCTGGGGGACAAGAGCTGGAGAAACTAGCAGATGTCACATGGGGTGTGTAGCGTGGTAGGTGAGTGGGGACCGGAGAGAAGACTGGTGGAGGATTAGCAGAGCTGGGGGACAAGAGCGGGAGAAACTAGCAGATGTCACATGGGGTGAGTAGGGACTGGAGAGAGAGGAGGATCAGCAGAGCTGGGGGTTGCTACTGAGTGGGGAATCAGCAGAGCTAGGGGTACCACTGAGCATAGGATCCTTTTACATTTGTGGGGGGGGGGGATTCAATTTTTTTTTTTTTTTTTGGTGGGGGGATGTTATGTGTTTGGGTGTAACTTTGATTTTTTAATAATAAAAAAATATATTTTTTTTTTTTTTTTTTTTTTTTTTTTTCATCACATAGGGAACAAAGTTCCGTATGTGATGATTTTTGGTGTCAGGTTCTCTTTATTGAGACATGCGGGGCCTAAAGGACCCCGCATGTCTCCCCTCTGCTCCACTGAATGTAATGCAGCGCACATCGCCTAGCATTACATTCTTTCCCAGCCTCCAATGCTTCCACCTGACAGGTGAGCCGACTGCTTGCCCGCAGCAGGGCTAAAGGTTTTTAAAAAAAAACAAAAAAAAACTACCTACCTACCCGGAACTACATGCCCGACACCCGGAACTACTGCCCGACTACATGCCCTGGGCGATATAAAATCAAAATCCCTGATAACTAAGCGCAATCTGCGTTTGGTTAGTTGCTTTGGAGGTCTAGTGGATCCCTGATGTCTTCATAAAGAGGACCTGCAAGTGTACAATCCAAACTCATACGTTCCTGCGTTAAAAATGGCGGTGTGTATAAGTGGGTGCTGCAGCGAACGTCGGCTGGAACCGAACAGAATCAGCGAGGGAGAACGTCACCAGCACACCGACGATCACCAATACGGGTCCAAAGGTTTCAATGAACGATCACATAGTTACAGCGAGGCAACGTTTCGGAGTCTCGCAGGACCCCTTCATCAGGTATGTGACATGTGACATGCCTGATGAAGGGGTCCTGCAAGACTCAGAAACGTTGCCTCGCTGTAACTTTGTGATCATTCATTAAAACCTTTGGACCCATATTGGTGTGCTGGTGACTTTCTCCCATAAAGAGGACCTGTCACCTACCCACAGCTGAAGCTTTTTAACCCCCTTTCTAATAGAAATAAAAAAAAATGTTTAAAGTTTAAAAAAAATAATTTTTTTTTATAAAAATGAAAAATAAAAATGTCTCCGTCCATACATGGGATTGCATCGCACACAGGAGGTGTATTGCAGGTCGGCGTCTATTGCTAGGCTTGGCCCGCGCAGTCGTGTTTGTACAGTCGTCGTGTGTTTTGCACATCGCTGGGCGCTGACCCGCCCTGAGAACACACCGGGCCCCGGGCAGGTCTGGAGGATTGTGTGCCTTGGACTTGGTTTTGCTTGTACGGGTCTGCAGTACACAGGATGCAGCGGGTGTGGTGAGACTTCCTCCATGCGGCTTTCACTTACAGTACACAGGGGTGTATATTAAGTAGCTGGCTGATGAGATGCGCTGCGATCTGTAAAGGGGGGGGGGGGGGGGGTTAGATCATTTTTAGAAAATAATGAAGCCTACGGCAACTTGAATTGACTTCTTTTGGATTTATTTTAGATTTGACTGTGCTAGTGGCAGCAAAAGGGTTGAGCTGAAGACCTCTGGGGGCTTTCACAGTGCCACCTATGGGAAATTTCGGGTACTGACGTTTGTCGTGGCTCTGCGGGCTTGTCCACGTTTTAAGCCTTGACATGTTTGGTGTCTGTTTTACTCACATCCTGCGACATCCTGTTCCCGCTGGCGCCAGCGGCGGGCCCTTGTTGCTGGCGCCAGCGGCGGGCCCTTGTTGCTGGCGCCAGCGGCGGGCCCTTGTTTCCGCCAGCGGCAGGGTCCTTTGTTGCTGGCGCCAGCGGCAGGGTCCTTTGTTGCTGGCGCCAGCGGCAGGGTCCTTTGTTGCTGGCGCCAGCGGCAGGGTCCTTTGTTGCTGGCGCCAGCGGCAGGGTCCTTTGTTGCTGGCGCCAGCGGCAGGGTCCCTTTGTTGCTGGCGCCAGCGGCAGGGTCCTTTGTTGCTGGCGCCAGCGGCGGGCCCCTTTGTTGCTGGCGCCAGCGGCGGGCCCCTTTGTTGCTGGCGCCAGCGGCGGGCCCTTTGTTGCTGGCGCCCGGCGGGCCCCTTGTTGCTGGCGCCAGCGGCGGGCCCCTTTGTTGCTGGCGCCAGCGGCGGGCCCCTTTGTTGCTGGCGCCAGCGGCGGCCCCTTTGTTGCTGGCGCCAGCGTCGGGCCCCTTTGTTGCTGGCGCCAGCGGCGGGCCCCTTTGTTGCTGGCGCCAGCGTCGGGCCCCTTTGTTGCTGGCGCCAGCGGCGGGCCCCTTTGTTGCTGGCGCCAGCGGCGGGGTCCTGTCGCTCCCGCTGGCGGGACAATAAACTGGCCCTTTGTTTAGAAAGTTCAGAGACCCCTTCCTGGTCTAATAGATGAATTCCTATATTGTCAGCTCCATCTAGTGGCCAAGATGTAGTATACTTTTCTGAAATGAGAAAAAATGCCGCATTTCGGTCACTAGATGGAGCTGGCGATCTAGGAATGGATGTTTTACAGAAAATATGGAGAAATTTCATCCCAGGTTTCACAAATGCATCTGAGAAAAAAAAATTCAATGGCCGGTGTCATCATTTAACCTGAAATGGCCTGCACCTGGGATGGACTTTTGTTCCTGAGACTCCCGATGTTCGTACAACATGCCGGGTAGGGCTGAGACGGATGATGTAGGGACTACTCTGGACTGCAGTGTGTGTGACTTGTGACCTCTCCATCTCCTTTCCAGGTACAGATCCAGAAGCCGCCACAGATCGCGCTCCTCCTCCTCCTCCTCCGGGTCTAGTTACGGTTCATGGAGCTCCTCCACATCTTCCTCTGGCTCGTCCCGCTCATGTTCTCCATCGTCCAGCAGATCCAGATCTCGCTCCAGGTCTCCTTACAGGAGAAGATACAGGAGCAGGAGCCGGAGGTGAGCAGGAGCATTGCTTTAGAAGATCTTTTCTTCTAGTCCAGGAAGGGTAGGACCCCTCAGATTTTATTGCAGCCCCTCTATGGCAGGAGTCTCCAGACTAGGGGCCACGGGCAACATTTTATCCGGCCCGCTGATGGTCATATCATGACTGTACTGATTGAGGTCAGCTGAGGCTGCCTATGGCTGTCTGCTTCTCATGGGGGACCCTGATGGTAAGGGAAGCATCTGATGAGGGGTCCTGATAATGTAAGGAGGGACTCTGATGTATGGAGGGACTCTGATGGAACCCTGTTGCAAAGGTGGGCTCTAATGGGGACCCTAACATAAGGAGGAACTCTGAGGGGGACCCTGATAAAAAGGGGGAGAGGACTCTGATGGGGAACCTTGGTGTAAGTGGGGACTGTGATGTAAGGAGCAACTCTGAGGGGGGCCCAGATGTAAGGGGCCTCTGATGGAAACTCTGATGCAGTGAGGAACTCTGAGGGGGACTCTGATGGGGGCCCAGATGTAGAGGGGACTCTGAGGCAGGGGAAGGTCTCTGTTGGGGGCCCCGATGTAGGGGGGACCCTGAGTCAAGAGGGGGGGTCTCTGATGGGGACGCAGATGTAGGGGTACCCTGATGTAAGCGGGGCTTTGATGGGGGGCCCTCTGATGGGAACACTGATGTGGGGGGGGGCCCTCTGATGGGAACCCTGATGTAAGGTGGGGGCCTACTGATGGGAACCCTGTTGTTGGGGGCCTTCTGATGGGAACCCTGATGCAGGGGGCGGCCCTCTGATGGGTACCTCGATGTAACGGGGGCCTCTGATGGGAACCTTGAAGTAGTGAGGAACTCTGAGGGGGATCTTGATGTAAGGATGGGAGGGGGGGGACCTTGATGTAAGGCGGAACTCTGCTGGGTACCCTGATGTAAGAAAGGGGGGGGCACTCCTCTGATGTTAGGAGGACTCTAATTAGAACCTCAATGAAATGGGCTCTCTGATGGGGACCCTGATGTAAGGGTGGGCCTCTGATGTTAGGAGGACTGATGGGAACCCTGATGTATGGGTGGGCCTCTGATGTTAGGAGGTCTCTGATGGGAACCCTGATGTATGGGTGGGCCTCTGATGTTAGGAGGTCACCCTGATGTAAGGGTGGGCCTCTGATGTTAGGAGGTCACGGGTGGGCCTCTGATGTTAGGAGGTCTCTGATGGAAACCCTGATGTAATGGTGGGCCTCTGATGTTAGGAGGTCACTGATGGGAACCCTGATGTATGGGTGGGCCTCTGATGTTAGGAGGACTGATGGGAACCCTGATGTATGGGTGGGCCTCTGATGTTAGGAGGTCTCTGATGGGAACCCTGATGTAAGGGTGGGCCTCTGATGTTAGGAGGTCACGGGTGGGCCTCTGATGTTAGGAGGTCTCTGATGGAAACCCTGATGTAATGGTGGGCCTCTGATGTTAGGAGGTCTCTGATGGGAACCCTGATGTAAGGGTGGGCCTCTGATGTTAGGAGGTCTCTGATGGGAACCCTGATGTAAGGGTGGGCCTCTGATGTTAGGAGGTCACGGGTGGGCCTCTGATGTTAGGAGGTCTCTGATGGGAACCCTGATGTAATGGTGGGCCTCTGATGTTAGGAGGACTGATGGGAACCCTGATGTAAGGGTGGGCCTCTGATGTTAGGAGAGAATCTCCCCGAGCCTCCATTGTAACTGCAACAATGGGAAATTTCTTCTCTATTCCAGTTCTGCTGCAAAAGAAAAGTTTGATTTCCCATCTCTTTGTCCGGGTGATTGGCACAGGATGTCGGTGAACATCTCCAGCAGGCATTAATGGCCTGAACAGATGTATTCACCGCCCCCCCCACTCTGCCCAAACCCGGGGAACGTTATTAGCAGAAAATACAATATAATTTGGGGTGTAAAATGGATTGTGAAATATTCAGCTTTTAGCTCTTGCTAGGCTCATGCCATCTGCTGGCTGCTAATGGTAATGCAGGTCTAGTCATTCAGATTTCCTGCTTTGACTGATTAAAGTGAAAGTTCACCTTTTACAGGAAAAATAAATGAAAAGGTGAACACAGTACTCCCTCCCCATCCCATTGGATCTGGAGATGTGACTTCTTCCTATCCACATGGTGTAGGGTCCTCACCTCTACCTTGAGAAAAAAAAAAAGTCAGCAGCAACAAAAACTGTAGCTGCTGACTTTTAAAATACAGCCACTTACCTGTCCCTCGGTCCCACGGTGTCTTCACCCCACCGATGGTTTCACCGGCCGTCTTCTCTCCGTGGCGCCGCCATCTTTAGTGTGTGCACCCATCTGTTACACCTTGCGGCTTCCCAGCCGGGTGCCCACTGCGCATGGGCGAGAAGCGCTACGCTTTATAAATGGCCCCGTAGTCTTCACGTGGACCTGTCACGTGTCCCAGAAGACTACAGGCAGGGAGATGGGGAGACAACCTCTGATCACCTAGGCCAGGGGTGTCAAACTGGCGGCCCTCCAGCTGTTGCGAAACTACAAGTCCCATCATGCCTCTGCCTTTGGGAGTCATGCTTGTAACTGTCAATCTTGCAATGCCTCATGGGACTTGTAGTTTGGCAACAGCTGGAGGGCCGCCAGTTTGACACCTGCGGCCTAGGCGATGGAAGTGGAAGCGGGTACCTGTCATTTTGGGTACCCGCTTCACCCCTGCTCCCCAAAGGTGCCAATCCTTAATGAGGAGCGGGGGACAAAGGCTTAAAGCGGAGCTTCCCCTTTTGGGTGGAGCTCCGCTTTAATTTGCCAGCATTTAAAGTCTTAAAGTGGAGCTCCACCCAAAAGGCGAAGTTCTGCTTTAAGAACTGCTTCCCATTAAGGATTGGCACCTTTGGGGTGCGGGGGGAGCGGGTACCCGAATTTGACAGGTACCCGCTCCCACTTCTGGTCCGATCGCCTAGGCCAGGGGTGGGTAATGTGTGGCTCTCCAGCTGTTGCAGAACTACAAGTTCCATCATGCCTCTCTCAGTTTTGCAATGTCCGTTCTTTGCAATGCCTCATGGGAAATGTAGTTCCACAACAGCTGGAGAACCGCACATTGCCCACCCCTGGTCTAGGCGATTGGAAATGGAAGGTGTCCTCCCTCCCTGTAGTCTTTTGGGACACGTGACAGGTCCCAGATGACTACAAGACCATTCATGAAGCACAGCTCTACTTGCGCATGCGCAGTGGGTCCCCGGCTCTGAAGCCACAAGCTATCACAGCCCGGTGCCCACAAGATGCCGGCCTCCAGGAATACAGGATGGCCAGTGAAACGGGCTGCGGGGACACACCGCAGGACCGAGGGACAGGTAAATGGCTGTTTTTTTAAAGGTCAGCAGCTACAGTTGTATCTGCTGACTTTTATTTTTTTGACAGGGTGAGCGGAACTCCGCTTTAACGTCCGCCCATTGGAGTTCACTTATTTCCAGCACCAAGGTGTCCCGAGAATGTATTCTAAGGAAGATCACACAGGCGTGCAGGTTCATCACACAGGAAACACAGGGGCTGATTTACTAAAGGCAAATAGACTGTGCACTCTGCAAGTGCAGTTGCTCCAGAGCTTCGTAAATGAGGTGAAGCGTCATCCAATCATGTGAAAGGAAATTTAAAAAAAAAAAAAAAAAAAAAGCTTTAATGCTTGCATGTGATTGGATGATGGGAGACAGCAGACCTTCCCCTCATTTGCCAAGTGCTCAGTCTGTTTGCCTTTAGTAAGTCCGCCCCCTTGCATACCTCTTCTGCAGCGAAGATCCCGCCCACTCGCAGTTTTTTTTTTTTTTTTTTTTTTTTTTTACTTTTTTTTTAAACTTCGAATTTTCTCTGATATAATCATAATATAGGTAAAATTGTGTTTGATATTTGAAATATTTTGCTATATCGGACAAAAAAAACATCCATAAGATGTAAAGCTGCACTGAATGACCTGTGTGGTACTGCTTTAACCCGTAATAATCTGGAATCCCTCCGACCTTTACAGGTGTGAGTCTCGCGACAGCTTCTACAGGCAGAAGATATACCATAAAGAGCGCGCCATAGTAAGTATCCGCAATACATTGGACTTGTGTGGGTACACATACCGATCCGTCATCACTGCCCTTCTCTATAGGGGGCGCTTTAGGCTGCATTGACCACACTATAACCACACCCTGTACCCCATCGCATACCCAGAAGTGGAAGCAAAATAATGGAATCGGCAGGCAGAACCGCAAGCACTGGAGGTTTGTGTGTTTGTAAAGTGGAAACAAAAAATGAACAAAGCGTATCCTCCTATAGTGCGTACTTGTCCCAGTTCATAGTACCTAGTGTGATTTAGGTCTGTCCTCTCATTCCTTTATCTGCAGGAGTCACCTTCTGACACCCGATGCCCTCGTCAGCACGCAATATGATTGGCAGCCTCAGCCGTGCATATCTCCTTATGAGACATTGTGTATGTGTGTGGGGGTGTCCGCTGCCCTCCTCTCGGGTGTCCGCTGCAGCCCTCCTCTCGGGTGTCCGCTGCAGCCCTCCTCTCGGGTGTCCGCTGCAGCCCTCCTCTCGGGTGTCCGCTGCAGCCCTCCTCTCGGGTGTCCGCTGCAGCCCTCCTCTCGGGTGTCCGCTGCAGCCCTCCTCTCGGGTGTCCGCTGCAGCCCTCCTCTCGGGTGTCCGCTGCAGCCCTCCTCTCGGGTGTCCGCTGCAGCCCTCCTCTCGGGTGTCCGCTGCAGCTCGGGTGTCCGCCCTCCTCTCGGGTGTCCGCTGCAGCCCTCCTCTCGGGTGTCCGCTGCAGCCCTCCTCTCGGGTGTCCGCTGCAGCCCTCCTCTCGGGTGTCCGCTGCAGCCCTCCTCTCGGGTGTCCGCTGCAGCCCTCCTCTCGGGTGTCCGCTGCAGCCCTCCTCTCGGGTGTCCGTGCCCTCCACTCGGCTCTGTGCTGGGCAGTATGTGACATCCGCTCCCTACCCCCTACTTTCTGGCGCTCAGAAATACTGTCTAAATTCAGCGCTTAGAACGTTTGTAGAGAAGACTGCAGATAAACAGGTACAACTTATGTAGGAGGATTTCTCACCTCTGTGTATCACCCGAGGCCAGTCACTGCAGTCGATATATAGAAGGGTTTACAACATGAAGGGTCTGCTTTAGGGGCTCATTCACAGCACCCCGTACACGAAAGTATGCGCAATGTGTAGAGGGAGGCACCGTGCCGCATGTTTGGTTTCCTTTTTGTCTTTTTTTACTATTGGAGCTTCACAAAACGACCCCTTCAATCAAGTCTCTGCGTATCACCGCAGCTCGAGGGCGTCGTGTGAATGAGCCCTAAGGATAAAGATGTTCTTTTAGGATTAGATTGAGTGTTAAAAATCTGTTGCTTAGCCACGCCCCATCCGCCGTCCCTGTCTATACGCCCCCGTATGGGAGGGGTGATATCGTGGTCAGCGCTGCAGCAATGATCGAGGTGTCATTTTGTAGCCCCAGCCATTCTGTACAAAGTTAAAGTAATCCAAGCGGCTAACGAGCTGCCGGATTTTGTTTACAGCTGGTGGAGGGGGGTCCCAACCCCCTCCTGCTGCCGCCTTCACCGGACCCTCCCATGCGATTGGAGATGTGACCGGCGGCATCCAAGCACAGAGAGGAGCGGATATTGCTCCTCCCACTGTGTGACATCAAACCGGAAGCAACGAGGATTTCGTAACTTTTTTTTGATACTTTGTTTACCAGGCCCCCCCTCCCCCCCATAGCCGTCACTCTCTCGACACAACTCCCCAACAAACCCAACACCCCCTCCCCGCCACTCTAGACACAACTCCCAACAATCAATCCCCCCCCCCCCCCCCCCATTGCCTCCACTCTTGACACAACTCCCCAACACCCCCCCTGCCACTCTCAACACAACTCCCCAACAAACCCAACACCCCCCCCCCCGCCACTCTCGACAACTCCCCAAACAAAACGCCCCCCCACGCAACTCTTGACACAACTCCCCAACAAACCCAGCGCCCCCCCCCCCTTCCGCTTCCCACTCTCGACACAACTCCCCAACACCCCCCCCCCCCCCCCACTCTCAACACAACTCCCAACAAACCCAACACCCCCCCCCGCCACTCTCGACAACTCCCCAACAAACCCAACACCCCCCGCCCCCCCCTCTCGACACAACTCCCCAACAAACCCAACACCCCCCCACTCTTGACACCCCAACAAACCCAACCCCCCCCGCCACTCTCGACACAACTCCCCAACAAACCCAACACCCCCCCGCCCTCTCGACACAACTCCCCAACAAACCCAACCCCCCACGCAACTCTTGACACAACTCCCCAACAAACCCAGCGCCCCCCCCTTCCGCTGCCACTCTCGACACAACTCCCAAACCACACACCCCCTTCCCCCGCCACCACCACTCTCTGATACAACATTTTCTCCCTCCCCCAGCCCACCACGCCGCCACTCCCAACCAATCACATGCCCCCCCTGGCCCCACCACACTGCCATCTTCTGCCAAATACCCATTCACTCACTGGTTCTGGAAGTGTCGTCCTCCCCGCGCTCGCTCGGTCTCCCGGAAGTCCAAGGAATTGTCCGCAGACCCCCGAGACAGGATTGTATGAAGGCACAGATCGGGGGAAGGGTACAGGAACATTTCTGCAGCACTGAAGGGCCCAGTGAGCCCTGAGAACCGAGCTCTGCATTCTCTGCTGTACTGAACTCTGATTGCAGCGCACTGCTAATGCTTTTGGCCTTCACTTATTGGCAGCACAATGGGGTGCGCACTTCTGCCTTGCAGCACTGGGGTCCTTGGTCCGAATCTCAGCCAAGAGACAGTCTGCATGGAGTTTGCATGTTCTCCTTGTGCTTATGAGGTTCCTCTCACAAACCAAAGAGCTGCTTGGAGGTTGTTTGGCCCCAGTATGTGACCTTAGACTGTAAGCTCCTCGGGGACAGGAAGTGCTGTGTACATTGCTCTCTATACACGACCAGTGATTCCAGGACACCGCGCTTCTCTTACCCAGTACAGCCGCAAACATTTTATTTTTCTAACACATGGAGGGTGAGCCGGGTGACCCTGAAGCAAAGTATTTACATCATAAAAGAAAAAGTGAATGGAGATGTTCTGCTTTCAGAAGTCTGGATGGAAATGTAGAGTAAGACGAGGACAAGGTCTGCTGGTGAATCACTGACTGTTGTTGGCGAAGTTCTCTTACAGAGGGCTGTGTCCTCCTATGTGGGACCTGACCTGACATGCTGGGACTAGTTTACAGGAACCCGAGCAACACTGGAGCTTTTAGGGCGCACTCACACTGGGGGCGGGTCACCCCCTTTGCTCCGGTTCCTTGGAGCGGTGTGAGTGCTGCGACGACCCGTGCCCAGAAACCGTAATGGAGTTTGCATGTTCTCCCTGTGCCTGCGTGGGTTTTCCTCCGGGTGCTACAATCTAGGGACCTTAGATTGTACGCCCTTTGAGGGTTAGGGACTGATGTGAATGTACAATATATATGTAAAGCGCTGCAACAAATGAAGGCGCTATAGAAGTACCTGAAATAAATAAGAATACTCTTCCAACCAGTCCATCCCCCACAGTTATTACCTTTTGTACCATCAGCCCCTCCCTCCTAGATTGTAAGCTCCCAGGATCAGCCCCTCCCTCTTAGATTGTAAGCTCCCAGGATCAGGCCCCTCCTATCCCTCTTGTATTGAACTGTATTGTTGCTGTATTGTCTCCCGTTATATTGTAAAGTGCTGAGCAAACTGTTGGCGCCATAAATCCTGTATAATAATAAGAAGAAGAAAAGCCGGCAATTCGGTGATCTGCAACCAATAATGAAATTGCAACGAAGAGATCAGAGAGTTGGCGGCTTTTCTTGTAATGGATTTATTGCACCGAGGACGGAACATCTCAGCGAGAGCACCAGCCTGACCCCAAAGGTGTGGACCTTGAATGTGGTCTTAACACTGAGCGGGAGCGCGGGGCCTCTCCCCCCGGGGCGGGAGCGCGGGGCCTCTCCCCCCCGGGGGGGGCGGGAGCGCGGGGGCCTCTCCCCCCCGGGGCGGGAGCGCGGGGCCTCTCCCCCCGGGGGGAGCGGGGGCCTCTCCCCCCGAGCGCGCGGGGCCTCTCCCCCCGGGGCGGGAGCGCGGGGCCTCTCCCCCCGGGGCGGGAGCGCGGGGCCTCTCCCCCCGGGGCGGGAGCGCGGGGCGGGGGGGCTCTCCCCCCGGGGCGGGAGCGCGGGGCCTCTCCCCCCCGGGGCGGGAGCGCGGGGGGCGGGAGGGCCTCTCCCCCCGGGGCGGGAGCGGGAGGGCTCTTATCTGGTTGGAATAGATGATGGTTAATCTTCGTACTTTGCTATGGACATGGGGTTGGAGGAAGAGTCTGCAGGAGCCTGACATTGCACCCGCCATACACTGATCCCCCTGATGGCGGGTGCAAAGCTTTAAAGGCCTCTGTGCAATGAAATGGTAAATACACTTTTTTCCTGCAAATATATATGCAATTTTTTTTTTTTGCTGTCTCTCTGAAAGGCGGGATTGACCTTTGCTCTGTAAACATTAAAATTATCCAGGATCTGTAAATCAACACAACCAACAATCCACACAATTAAATTACTCGAATTACAAATCCTCGGGTTGCAGATTGTGATTTTACCCGTCAATGATTAACGCGCCGTTTGGATTTAATTTCTGACAAATGTTTGTGTTCTCAGGAGGAGAGGAGGGTGGTGTACATCGGGAAGATCGGCAGCCGCATGACCAGATCGGAACTCAGGAGCCGCTTCTCCATGTTTGGGGATATTGAGGAATGCACCCTTCACTTCAGAGAGGAGGGGTAAGGATCACGGTGTTAGATATTAGAGTCCTCTGTGCAGGGCGGGGGCTTCCCGGGGTCCTAAAGTTGGCAAAACACCAAAAAGCATTGCGGGGTTACTGCATGCTGATGAGAAATTGGGGGCCATTAACACTTACAGGTTGTGGTAATGATGTGTGTGGTGCGCTGCGGTGCTGTTCATTGGAAACGGCGCGCCAATGCAGTGTACAGAAAAGCACAACATGTATGCAGGGGGCGCGATGGGGGCTCCCAGCGCCTGCATGGGGGCACGAGGGGGGCTCCCAGCGCCTGCATGGGGGCACGAGGGAGGCTCCCAGCGCCTGCATGGGGGCACGAGGGAGGCTCCCAGCGCCTGCATGGGGGCACGAGGGAGGCTCCCAGCGCCTGCATGGGGGCACGAGGGGGGCTCCCAGCGCCTGCATGGGGGTACGAGGGGGGCTCCCAGCGCCTGCATGGGGGCACGAGGGAGGCTCCCAGCGCCTGCATGGGGGCACGAGGGGGGCTCCCAGCGCCTGCATGGGGGCACGAGGGGGGCTCCCAGCGCCTGCATGGGGGCACGAGGGGGGCTCCCAGCGCCTGCATGGGGGCACGAGGGAGGCTCCCAGCGCCTGCATGGGGGCACGAGGGGAGGCTCCCAGCGCCTGCATGGGGGCACGAGGGAGGCTCCCAGCGCCTGCATGGGGGCGCGAGGGGAGGCTCCCAGCGCCTGCATGGGGGCACGAGGGAGGCTCCCAGCGCCTGCATGGGGGCGCGAGGGGGGCTCCCAGCGCCTGCATGGGGGCGCGAGGGGGGCTCCCAGCGCCTGCATGGGGGCGCGAGGGGGGCTCCCAGCGCCTGCATGGGGGCGCGAGGGGGGCTCCCAGCGCCTGCATGGGGGCACGAGGGGGGCTCCCAGCGCCTGCATGGGGGCACGAGGGGGGCTCCCAGCGCCTGCAGGGGGGGCACGAGGGGGGCTTCCATTCGTATGTATCTGGCTTTGAATAAAAACGCCCGTTAAGGAATTAAAAAAAAAAAAAAAAAATTTAAACTGTTCGTACACGGGTGTAATGCCAACCACCGCACTGCAAACATCACAGTGCCTCGTGCCCCCTGCAGGCGCCGGTAGCCCCCCTCGTGCCCCCTGCAGGCGGTGGGAGCCCCAGAGGGGGCACGAGGGGGGCTCCCGGCGCCTGCAGGGGGCACGAGGGGGGCTCCCGGCGCCTGCAGGGGGCACGAGGGGAGCTCCCGGCGCCTGCAGGGGGCACGAGGCACTGTGATGTTTGCAGTACGGTGGGTGGGATTTTTTTTTTTTAATTCCTTGACGGGCGTGTTTACTCAAAGCCGGATACAGACGAATGTTTGGCTTTGAACTTTTGTCCACAATATTAGCAACCGGCAGGTTAGCACAGCAAACAGTCCATAACAGATTTGGTTACGTGAGTCTCCTCTGATTGGTCCGTTGACGCTGTGCAGGATTTTATGCCGCTAAACTGGATTTTCCAGAGAGTGAGAATTACAAATCACCCGTATGAGGAGGAAGTCGCTGGAACTGAAAAGTAACAATTCTCAATGATGAGAAACAGGACGGGCCGGCCTTGTCTGATTCTGCCGCCAGATTTACCAGATGGAGGGAAAGCTGTGTGATGAAATCTGTCTGTTGGCTCACTGGTCTAAAAGAAAAAAATATATATATATATCTATAGATCTATATATATCCTGGCCAAAAGTTTTGAGAATGACACAAATATGAGTTTATCTGCTTTGCACAATAAGGGATTCCCAGGCAAGGATTTTGCTCTACTAAGGTGGCACCTAAATCCACCATTTATTGGATCATAAAGACTTCAAGGAGAGAGGTCTAGTTGTTGTGAAGAAGTCTTCAGGGTGCCCAAGAAAGTCCAGCAAGCGCCAGGACCGTCTCCTAACGTTGATTCAGCTGCGGGATCGGGCCACCACCAGCGCAGAGCTTGCTCAGGAATGGTAGCAGGCAGGTGTGATGCATCGGCACGCACAGGGAGGAGAAGGCCTTTGGAGGATGGCCTGGTGTCAAGAAGGGAAGCAAAGAAGGCACTTCTCTCCAGGAAAAACATCCGGGACAGACTGATATTCTGCAAAAGGTCCAGGGATTGGGCTGCTGAAGACTGGGGGAAAGTCATTTGTTCTGATGAATCCCCATTACGATTGTTTGGGGCATCTGGAAAAAACCTTGTCCGGAGAAGAAAAGGTGAGCGCTACCATCAGTCCAGTGTCATGCCAACAGTAAAGCATCCTGAGACCATTCATGTGTGGGGTCACTTCTCGGCCAAGGGAGTGGGCGCATTCAAGAACATAAATAAAGAATGGTCCAAAAACATCTTTCAAGAGCAACTTCTCCCAACCATCCAAGAACAGTTTGGTGAGGAACAATGCATGATGGAGCACCTTGCCAGAAGGCAAAAGTGAGAACGAAGTGAGACATTTCAGGTCCATGGCCAGGGAACTGCCCAGACCTTAATCCATTGAGAACTTGTGGGCAATCCTCAAGAGATGGGTTAACAAAAAACCCCACAAAATCTGACCAACGCCATGCATTGATTATGCAAGAATGGGCTGCCATCAGTCAGGAGGTGGCCCAGAAGTTGATTGACAGCATGCCGGGCGAGTTGCAGAGGTCTAGAAAAAGAAGGTTCAACGTTAAATATCAACTCTTCACATAAACTTCATGTCGTTGTCAATAAAAGCCTCCGACACGTATGGAATGCTGGTCATCATACATCCGTATACCAGAGGAACATCTGACAAAAAGATCTAAAAACACTGAATCAGCAGACTTTGTGAAAATTAATATTTGTGTCATTCTCAAAACTTTTGGCCACGACTGTATATATAATTTTTTTATTACTCAAAATTTTTACTTTTTAATGAGCTAAAGTGGAAGAATGGGATCACAATAATTAAATAAATTCTCCTCTCCTCTGAGCCAGGGGTCCTCCCCGGGCCGCCTGATCCAGGGGTCCCCCCTGGGCCGCTTGCCCCTCAAAAAGGCAATTTTACCATTCACTCTGCTAAATGATCATACATTGAGAATTCTATCGGCTGTATTTGCCATCTATTGAATTGGAGCCCATGTGTATTGTCAGTGGAGGTGTGGGGGGGATCTTGCAGTGGCAGTTGATGGAGGGGGAACCAGGCAGTTGGAGCATAATTTGGTTAATGGTGTCTCCATTCTCTTTACAGTGACAATTACGGCTTTGTGACTTACCGCTACACCAGAGAGGCCTTCGCCGCCATAGAAAACGGGCACAAGTTGCGCCTTCCAGGACGAGCTGCCCTTTGACCTCTGCTTTGGTGGCCGACGACAGTTCTGTAAAAGTAATTACGCTGATCTTGGTGAGTTGACTTTTCATTTGTTGTACAGAGGAGGGTGAAGGTCTAATATACATGAAAACATTTCCCCCGAACATAGATCTGTTATTATATGGGGTTTAGACGGCATCAAGAGTCTGCAATAGAAAGGTAGAGTCCTCGTCCTCTGCAATAGAAAGGTAGGGTCCTCGTCCTCTGACAGAAAAGTAGGGTCCTCGTCCTCTGCAATAGAAAGGTAGGGTCCTCGTCCTCTGACAGAAAAGTAGGGTCCTCGTCCTCTGCAATAGAAAGGTAGGGTCCTCGTCCTCTGCAATAGAAAGGTAGGGTCCTCGTCCTCTGCAATAGAAAGGTAGGGTCCTCGTCCTCTGCAATAGAAAGGTAGGGTCCTCGTCCTCTGAATAGAAAGGTAGGGTCCTCGTCCTCTGCAATAGAAAGGTAGGGTCCTCGTCCTCCAATAGAAAGGTAGGGTCCTCGTCCTCCAACAGAAAGGTAGGGTCCTCGTCCTCTGTAATAGAAAGGTAGGGTCCTCGTCTTCTGCAATAGAAAGGTAGGGTCCTCGTCTTCTGCAATAGAAAGGTAGGGTCCTCATCCTCTACAACAGAAAGGTAGGGTCCTCGTCCTCTACAATAGAAAGGTAGGGTCCTCATCCTCCAACAGAAAGGTAGGGTCCTCGTCTCTGCAATAGAAAGGTAGGGTCCTCGTCCTCTGCAATAGAAAGGTAGGGTCCTCGTCCTCTGCAATAGAAAGGTAGGGTCCTCGTCCTCTGCAATAGAAAGGTAGGGTCCTCATCCTCTGTAATAGAAAGGTAGGGTCCTCGTCCTCTGTAATAGAAAGGTAGGGTCCTCGTCCTCTACGATAGAAAGGTAGGGTCCTCATCCTCCAACAGAAAGGTAGGGTCCTCGTCCTTAAACAGAAAGGTAGGGTCCTCGTCCTTAAACAATAGAAAGGTAGGGTCCTCGTCCTCTGTAATAGAAAGGTAGGGTCCTCGTCCTCTGTAACAGAAAGGTAGGGTCCTCGTCCTCTGTAATAGAAAGGTAGGGTCCTCATCCTCAAATAGAAAGGTAGGGTCCTCATCCTCTGCAATAGAAAGGTAGGGTCCTCATCCTCTGTAATAGAAAGGTAGGGTCCTCGTCCTCTGCAATAGAAAGGTAGGGTCCTCGTCCTCTGCAATAGAAAGGTAGGGTCCTCGTCCTCTGCAATAGAAAGGTAGGGTCCTCGTCCTCTGCAATAGAAAGGTAGGGTCCTCGTCCTCTGTAATAGAAAGGTAGGGTCCTCGTCCTCTACAATAGAAAGGTAGGGTCCTCGTCCTCTGCAATAGAAAGGTAGGGTCCTCGTCCTCTAAACAGAAAGGTAGGGTCCTCGTCCTCTGCAATAGAAAGGTAGGGTCCTCGTCCTCTGTAATAGAAAGGTAGGGTCCTCGTCCTCTGTAATAGAAAGGTAGGGTCCTCGTCCTCTGTAATAGAAAGGTAGGGTCCTCGTCCTCTACGAATAGAAAGGTAGGGTCCTCGTCCTCTGCAATAGAAAGGTAGGGTCCTCGTCCTCTGTAATAGAAAGGTAGGGTCCTCGTCCTCTACGATAGAAAGGTAGGGTCCTCATCCTCTGTAACAGAAAGGTAGGGTCCTCGTCCTCTGCAATAGAAAGGTAGGGTCCTCGTCCTCTGCAATAGAAAGGTAGGGTCCTCGTCCTCTGCAATAGAAAGGTAGGGTCCTCGTCCTCTGTAATAGAAAGGTAGGGTCCTCGTCCTCTGCAATAGAAAGGTAGGGTCCTCGTCCTCTGTAATAGAAAGGTAGGGTCCTCGTCCTCTACAATAGAAAGGTAGGGTCCTCGTCCTCTACGATAGAAAGGTAGGGTCCTCATCCTCTGCAATAGAAAGGTAGGGTCCTCATCCTCCAACAGAAAGGTAGGGTCCTCGTCCTCTGCAATAGAAAGGTAGGGTCCTCGTCCTCTGCAATAGAAAGGTAGGGTCCTCGTCCTCTGCAATAGAAAGGTAGGGTCCTCGTCCTCCAACAGAAAGGTAGGGTCCTCGTCCTCTGCAATAGAAAGGTAGGGTCCTCGTCCTCTGCAACAGAAAGGTAGGGTCCTCGTCCTCTGCAATAGAAAGGTAGGGTCCTCATCCTTGCAATAGAAAGGTAGGGTCCTCGTCCTCTGCAACAGAAAGGTAGGGTCCTCATCCTCTGCAATAGAAAGGTAGGGTCCTCATCCTCTACAATAGAAAGGTAGGGTCCTCGTCCTCTGCAATAGAAAGGTAGGGTCCTCGTCCTCCAATAGAAAGGTAGGGTCCTCGTCCTCTGTGCATTTACAACACAATTCAATGCAAGAGGGGTAGGAGGGCCTTGCTCACAGGAGCTTACAATCTGAATGGGAGGCCCAGTTGATACAAAAGGTCATAACGGTGAGGGATGAGTTGATGGAAAACTAAAAGTTAATTTAGTAGGTGATAGACTTCCCTAAAGAGTTGAGTTTTTAGGGATCCCCTAAAGGTGAAGATAGCTGGACAGATTGTGTGGTAGGGCGTTCCAGAGGATGGGGGAGGCTTTGGAGAGATTGGGGTAGTGAGTTCCAGAGGACAAAAGAGGCTCTGGACAGAATAGGGTAGTATGCTCCATAGCATGTGGGAGTCTGTGGACAGATTGGGGTTGGGGGTTCTAGAGGATGGGAGAGGCTCTGAACATGTTGGTGTAAGGAGTTTCAGAAGATGGAACAGGCTCTGGAAAGATTGGGGTAGGGAGTTCCAGAAGATGGGACAGGCTCTGGACAGATTGGGGTAAGGAATTCCAGGAGACGGGAGAGGCTCTGGACACACTAGGCTAAGGAGTTCCAGAGGATCAGAGAGGCTCTGGACAGATTGGGGGGTAAGGAATTCCAGAAGATGGGACAGGTTTTTACAGATTGGGCTAGGGAGTTGCAGAGGATGGGAGAGGCTCTGGATAGATTGGGGTAAGGAATTCCAGAGGATGGGAGAGGCTCTGGACAGATTGGGCTAGGGAGTTGCAGAGAATGGAAAAGGCTCTGGACAGATTGGGGTTGGGGGTTCCAGAGGATGGGAGAGGCTCTGGACACATTGGGATAGAAAGTTTGAGAGGTTGGGAGAGGCTCTGGATAGATTAGGGTAGCCCCTTCAGAGCCCCAAAAAAAAGTGATCAGGCGGTTCTAGAGCCCCCTGGATCACCCATCACTGGCTGTAGAAATCCTTACACAAAGTCATCATTTCGAAATGTTGAGCTATTGCAGCTCCATGAGTGAGACTTTTGTGAATTCCACTGTACACTGGATGTTGTGACCATCAGGGGGAGTGGTAACTTACCAAACAGAAACCAAAAAGTGTATTGCCCCATGGCGTTATGACGTCTTGAGATCGGATTTATTTCTTTTTTGGCTGGCTGTCCCTCTGAGCTCTATAAACGTGACATTTTTTTGTTTGTCTTAATGCCCATGTCTTTTTTTTTTTTTCCTCCCCTCTAGATTCAAATCGGGAAGATTTTGACCCCGCCCCCATTAGAAGTAAATTCGACAATATAGATTTCGACACTTTACTAAGAGAGGCTCAGAAGAAGCAACGGAGGTAACGCAACGCCAACCCCTCCCCCCCTTCCCAGAGCCACCGATCAATTAGAATGGAGAATCGGTTAACCAAATGAATTTACCTCAGAACACTGGATAGAAGGCCATTCAATAAACAGACGCATGACCCCCCCCCCCCCTCCCCCCTCCCCGTGCGGGGAACAAAGTGCCCAAATCTTTTTTTTCTTTTTTAGATAAAAATTATCATAAAAAAAGGTATAAAAACATTTTTTTTAAATATTTGTTTTTGTAACCTATTTAACAGAGCTTAGCGTGCGATCTGCGCCGATATGCGAAGAATCACTATGCAGATGAAATAATAATAAAAAAAGATACATATAATAGCGGATTGTGGCGTCTTTATTGGGTTTCCTGTCCGGTTTGTGAGATTTACGAAGGAAGAATCGTCAGAAGCGTCACATTGCGTCTCCTGTCCCTCCCAACATGGCCGAGCTCCCGCCTCCCCTCTGTGTTGGCTTCCTTACATGACCGCGATTTTGCATTTGGCCGCATTCATCGCTGCGTGCAGCCTGTGGGTTGCGGGTTGGACAAGCCTGATGCAACAAGATGGAGTTAGCTTTTTAAAGAAAAAAGGAAGACGCTGGATGGTGAACAAGTCCTGGCAGCGCGTTTCTTCTGTCGGATTATTCGGAACCAAGCGGACCTTTTATCCATAACCACTTAGTGTTCCTAAACCACAACAGTCTGTAGAGGCAGCAAAGCGTTCTTGTTATACTCACTGTAGAACCTAAGGGGTTATTCCTCTGCATTGTGTGAAAAAGCCGTTTGATCCTGTCTTCTCTGCTCCTCCTCCTTGTTCAAATGTCCACATTTTATCTCCTGATGATAGACTGAACCTGTAGCCATGCTGCACATGCTCAGTTTGGTGTGTATTAGGTTTTCTTCTTTTTCCTTGGGAGAGTGCATGTGATCAGCACAGGGCCAATCAGCACTGTCGAGACAGAGGTTAGGGGTTCTGCATCCTCCTAGAGCAGAAAGAAAACTCCTCCTACAAGCTTTAACCAGTGCTCTACTGAAGTCACAATACTGCTGATGAGAAAAGGTATTTAGCAGTTTATATTCACTAAAATAATTGCATTTCCATGTTTTGAGTAAGGTGGGAGACCTGAATGTAGGGTCCGGGGAGAGCGGATATAGTGAATGCAGGGTCCAGGGGAGAGCGGATATAGTGAATGCGGGGTCCAGGGAGAGCGGATATAGTGAATGCGGGGTCCGGGGAGAGCGGATATAGTGAATGCGGGGTCCGGGGAGAGCGGATATAGTGAATGCGGGGTCCGGGGAGAGCGGATATAGTGAATGCAGGGTCCGGGGAGAGCAGATATAGTGAATGCAGGGTCCGGGGAGAGCGGATATAGTGAATGCGGGGTCCGGGGAGAGCGGATATAGTGAATGCGGGGTCCGGGGGGAGCGGATATAGCGAATGCGGGGTCCGGGGAGGGCGGATATAGTGAATGCGGGGTCCGGGGAGAGCGGATATAGTGAATGCGGGGTCCGGGGAGAGCGGATATAGTGAATGTGAATGCGGGGTCCGGGGAGAGCGGCTAGAGTGAACGCGGGTCCGGGTGGGGAGAGCGGCTAGAGTGAACGCGGGGTCTGGGGAGAGCGGCTAGAGTGAACGCGGGGTCTGGGGAGAGCGGCTAGAGTGAACGCGGGGTCTGGGGAGAGCGGCTAGAGTGAACGCGGGGTCTGGGGGGGGAGAGCGGCTAGAGTGAACGCGGGGTCTGGGGAGAGCGGCTAGAGTGAACGCGGGGTCTGGGGAGAGCGGCTAGAGTGAACGCGGGGTCTGGGGAGAGCGGCTAGAGTGAACGCGGGGTCCGGGGAGAGCGGCTAGAGTGAACGCGGGGTCTGGGGAGAGCGGCTAGAGTGAACGCGGGGTCTGGGGAGAGCGGCTAGAGTGAACGCGGGGTCTGGGGAGAGCGGCTAGAGTGAACGCGGGGTCTGGGGAGAGCGGCTAGAGTGAACGCGGGGTCTGGGGAGAGCGGCTAGAGTGAACGCGGGGTCTGGGAGAGAGCGGCTAGAGTGAACGCGGGGTCTGGGGAGAGCGGCTAGAGTGAACGCGGGGTCTGGGGAGAGCGGCTAGAGTGAACGCGGGGTCTGGGGAGAGCGGCTAGAGTGAACGCGGGGTCTGGGGAGAGCGGCTAGAGTGACGGGGTCTGGGAGAGCGGCTAGAGTGAACGCGGGGTCTGGGGAGAGCGGCTAGAGTGAACGCGGGGTCTGGGGAGAGCGGCTAGAGTGAACGCGGGGTTTGGGGAGAGCGGCTAGGGAGTGAACGCGGGGGTCTGGGGGGAGAGCGGCTAGAGTGAACGCGGGGTCTGGGGAGAGCGAGAGTGAACGCGGGGTCTGGGGAGAGCGGCTAGAGTGAACGCGGGGTCTGGGGAGAGCGGCTAGAGTGAACGCGGGGTCTGGGGAGAGCGGCTAGAGTGAACGCGGGGTCTGGGGAGAGCGGCTAGAGTGAACGCGGGGGGTCTGGGGAGAGCGGCTAGAGTGAACGCGGGGTCTGGGGAGAGCGGCTAGAGTGAACGCGGGGTCTGGGGAGAGCGGCTAGAGTGAACGCGGGGTCTGGGGAGAGCGGCTAGAGTGAACGCGGGGTCTGGGGAGAGCGGCTAGAGTGAGGCGGGGTCTGGGGAGAGCGGCTAGAGTGGAGGCGGGGTCTGGGGAGAGCGGCTAGAGTGGAGGCGGGGGGGGGAGAGCGGCTAGGGGAGAGCGGCTAGAGTGGAGCGGGGTCTGGGGAGAGCGGCTAGAGTGGAGGCGGGGTCTGGGGAGAGCGGCTAGAGTGGAGGCGGGGTCTGGGGAGAGCGGCTAGAGTGGAGGCGGGGTCTGGGGAGAGCGGCTAGAGTGGAGGCGGGGTCTGGGGAGAGCGGCTAGAGTGGAGGCGGGGTCTGGGGAGAGCGGCTAGAGTGGAGGCGGGGTCTGGGGAGAGCGGCTAGAGTGGAGGCGGGGTCTGGGGAGAGCGGCTAGAGTGGAGGCGGGGTCTGGGGAGAGCGGCTAGAGTGAAGGCGGGGTCCGGGAGAGCGGCTAGAGTGAGGCGGGGTCCGGGGAGAGCGGCTAGAGTGAACGGCGGGGTCCGGGGAGAGCGGCTAGAGTGGAGGCGGGGTCCGGGGAGAGCGGCTAGAGTGAACGCGGGGTCCGGGGAGAGCGGCTAGAGTGGAGGCGGGGTCCGGGGAGAGCGGCTAGAGTGGAGGCGGGGTCCGGGGAGAGCGGCTAGAGTGGAGGCGGGGTCCGGGGAGAGCGGCTAGAGTGGAGGCGGGGTCCGGGGAGAGCGGCTAGAGTGGAGGCGGGGTCCGGGGAGAGCGGCTAGAGTGGAGGCGCGGGGTCCGGGGAGAGCGGCTAGAGTGGAGGCGGGGTCCGGGGAGAGCGGCTAGAGTGAACGCGGGGTCCGGGGAGAGCGGCTAGAGTGAACGCGGGGTCCGGGGGTTTAGTAACGCTTTAATAAAACAATAATATTCTCTAGCAAGGAACGTACATTCCACATTAATCTGCTCCCAACGTTAGGCCGCGCTGTAAATGGCCCCCAGCATTGCTCCTGTTTCTTCTTGCTGGAGGCGGCCATTTTGCTGAAGCCCAGAGCCCCTGAGCAGCAGTAAATCTTTAGGCTGCCAGCAAATCGACCTTTACAAATTCGGCACAGCGCCTAAAAATAGAAAGCAACTGAGCATGTGCAGAGCGGGGTGAGACCGTGTATTACTGGACTCTAAGTACAGGCACTTACTTTAAATGTTTTACATCTCAGTACCTGCAGAAGGGGCCAGCCTGGCGTGATCTAGCACAGGGGCAGCAACCCGTACATTGCGGCCTACCAGTGGATCTCCGGTGACTGGTAGATTGTGGTGCGGGCTCGCTGACCCCCTATCCCAGAGCATCAAGCAGAGGACTGTAGTAGGGAACAAGAGCCGCATAAGCCTCCTCTGTAGTGCCGGCTCCTGTCCCATGCGGAGTGACACCACCTGCACTCCACCTCTTATCCCGGCTAGCGGTCTCCAGAGTGGGGCCAGCAGCAGGAAAGAAGGTCAGTGTGAAGCAATACACTGGGCATGATCGTATAGGGCTGCTTTCACAATGATCTGCTGCGGCTTACCCACACCGAGGGTGCAGGTACCAGCAGCTTCCTTGCGGGTTTGCTGCTCTTTGCCATAGATTTCTATTATATCCTGAGGGTTTGGGGCACTTTCTGAAATGCAGACGGCGCACCTCACCTGCAGGATATATTAGAAGTCCATAGCAAACCGCAGCTAGCCCAGGGAAGTCACACATGCACTGCGTTGCACCTGTGGTGCAGGTAACTCAGCACATCAGTGTGAAATCAGCCTTGTAGGGGGCTCAGAACAGTAAGGGTTCATTTATGTTTGGGGGGTGGTAAAACCCCATAGTTGAGATGTTTTTACAAGCCCTGCACCCCCTTGAGCTGCAGTGGCGCAGCATGGTTGGTGGTTGGTGCAGGACCCATTCAAGTCCATGCAAGTGCCTTGCAACCTTGTGCAGTACAGCAAACAGGGGGTTAAAGCAGCCAGCACTGTCTTGCTTTCCCACCGCCTGCTTTAACCCCTTGGACCCCGTGCAGTTGAGGGGCGCCCCCATTTGTTTGAATGGGTCCTGATTAGCAGGTGGTAACGCCCACCAAAAGCCACGGGGGTGTCATTCCTGCTGCTGCATGTGTACACCAGCAGATAAAGGGGGGTAGGGATTGGGGACGGTACAACCACAACTCAACTGCAGGGTTTTACCACCCCCCAACTCTGTGAATTGGTTCTGCTGCCGAGGACAACGAAGGGCTCATTCACAAGTATAGAAGGCACTCCTGCTCTTCTGAAAAGCGATCCGAGTGTGTTTGACGGGCGGTCAGGAGGCGATATGTCACCTCCTCACCACCAGGATTGGCGCACGATGCGTGCGATTGTGACACGGCAGTACGGGAATTAGAGGTTTAGATCGGGTGTGAACAGGGGCGGACTGACCATTCAGGAACTTGGGCACTGCCCGAGGGCCC